GAGTGTACACGCTCACAAGGGGTGGGAAGCCCTCCAGAATGATGGAGGCTGGAGACTAATCCAAACCTCTGGAGTCTTCAAGAAAATATCAGCCCCAGAAATCTCACAGGAACGAACTGGCTCTGGAGAGTTCTGGCAAATCCTCCTCCCGACCCCACCCACCCAAAGCTGAAAAACAGCCACAGGAGCAAAAAGCTGCTATTTTTCCCCGGTATTTTTCGGGATCGTGGCCTGTGCAAAGGCCTGAAGTCAGCCCTTGCTTCACCTGAACTGCTCTTCCCACCCAAAGACTGCGAGGGCACAGCTCGAGCCCGGTGGTGATGAATTCATTTTAATCCCCCCATGGAAACGAGGAGTTTGAGCCTCTGCATTTTTTATTTTTTTTTATTTTTTTTTTTTGCAATGTTCCTTCCATAAAGCCCAATTTTGGCCAGCACAGCAGGCAGGATCTTCCATCAACCTTCCCCTCAAGCCAGGGCACGTCGGGGTGTGAGTGGTTCCCGAGACCACGAGGGCCAGAAAATACCCCTTGGGAGGGTGGAATCCAAACTCCAGCTGCCTCTGTGCCTCCTGGACACCTTCTCAGCCCTTTGAAGGCTTCCTGCACAAGCCATTCCGTCCCTCCAACGCTTCTTCCAGGAAAAGCACAGGCAATTCCAGGAACCCCAGGCCTCAGGTGGATAAACGGGGATGGCAAAGGCCAAGGCTGAGATGCCGAGGCAGCACAAGGGCCAAGGCTTCCCGAGGAAACCAAATCTCAAGGCACGGTTTGGAGAGGGGAGAACTTCTCTGGAAAGGGCAGGGAACATCAGGCCTAACCCTGTACACACTCAGCAAAATCTGATCTCAGCGGCCTGAGATCATTCCCTGGCTCCGAGAGGCGCGATCCAGGAGTCGCTCCCGACGCAGCGGGAGGAGAAGCTGTTTCTGGAGGGATCCAAGTTCCACTTCTGAATCTCCTCATAAAACAGGAGCTTTGGCCATTCAGGGCTGCAGGTGCCCCTTCCATTGCTTTGCTTTCTTCCTCTTTCTTTTTTTTTTTTTTTTTTTTTTTTTTTTTGGGGGGTTTTTTTCCCCCCCCCCCAGCTGAGGTTTGTGGTGGCCTCTGGTGGGATAAGGGAACAAACGGGATAAAAAGGACAAAATGTGCAGGTTTACACAAAGCTGACCAGGCCTTCAGCTGTTTATGGCTGAATTAGTGGGGATTTGTTCAGAGTTATGTGTCAAAGGGCTATTCCTTCACCCCACCCTGAGGGTGAGCCACCGGTTCAGAGCATTTGCAGCACCACGAGTCACCCTACAAATTAAAAACTCCACCAACACACAGTTTTTTATGGGGTGGTTTTGATGTTTCATCAAGTCATTGAGTTCATCAAGTCCACAGGGATCATGGGGACCACTCTGGGACCACAGGGATCACTCTGGGACCACAGGGATCACTCTGGGATCACATGGGCCCCTCTGGGATCATGGGGACCTCTTTGGGATCACAGGGATCACTCTGGGATCACATGGGCCCCTCTAGGATCATGGGGACCACTCTGGTACCACAGGGATCACTCTGGGATCACAGGGATCACTCTGGGATCACACAGGCCCCTCTGGGATCACAGGGACCCCCCTGGGATCATGGGGACCTCTTTGGGATCACAGGGATCACTCTGGGGCCACAGGGATCACTCTGGGATCACAGGGATCACTCGGGGATCACAGGGCCCCTCTGGGATCATGGGACCCCTCTGGGATCACAAGGACCCCTCTGGGATCACAGCAATCTTTCAGGCTGTTCCAGTGCTCCATCTACCCCAAGATTTGGCTCCTGACATGGATCAAGACCCGCTGTTTGTTCTGGAGCTGTAACACCTCCCTCCCCTGCATTTCCTGGTAACCCCTCACGCCCGGAGAGAATTCCAGGTTATTTATCTGCCTCCCCTCAGGATTATTCCCTCCACCATGACCTTGCAACGCTTTGGACTTTCCACAGGCTCTTTATTACCCTGTTCTGTGGAAGTTCTTCCCCCCTCTTGGCTGGTGGCCCTGGGTTGCTCTTGCTCCAAAGGAATTCATTGCCCAATGTCCAACGTTCGGTTGAAATGACATCATTCCTGAGGTGCTATTTAGAATTATTGCTCTCCAGACCTCCTCCATGTCCCTTTTGCAATCCCTTCTTCCAGCAAAGTCGGGCGCTCCCGTGGTGCCAGGAGGGTGGCCTAAAATCCCTGTGTCACTTCCACACCAGGAGCTTCCCAGAGCACCTTTGCTCTGCCCTCACCCTAGGGCTGAAAAATAAAATAAAATAAAAAAGAAAGGGCTCCAGTTCAACATTTCATCTTCTTAATAAACACTGGCTAATAACAACTACAGGAAAAATAATCCCGTCTTCTGGGCCTCCTCCAGATGACATAAAGCTCATGGATTTCTGGACCAGGCTCGAGAAACCGTTTGCAAACTTCTGTTTGATCATAAATCAAGGCCAGTAATGACCTTCTTTTTTTTTTTTTTTTTTTTTTTTTGGTGAAAACAGCCCCAGTTCGCTGTTCCCAGACTCCAACACGGGCCTCGCTCAGAGCCCTGGAATTCCAGCAGGCTCCACTTCCATCAGGGCACCCGTGGCAGCTCCTGGAAGGTGAATCCCGACTGGCACCACTTTTTAAAGGCTGTTCTACGTGACCCTGGACAGGCTCCTTATCTCTCTGCCTTTCCATGGCTCTTCCAGGCCCTTTCCAGCTCTTTATTCCTGGTCCTGCTGGCTGCCCTTCCCTGTGGGATCTCTGCCCCCTCACACAGCTCAGGGAGAAGCCAAGAGCAATGGGAATTCATTGGGAAGTGCTGCTGGAAGCTTGGTCAGGGGCAGGTCCTGCAAAGAAAACATTCTTTCCACTTCAAGCTTTCTCCCTGCCCTGAAACCAGCCTGGTTCAGGCACCCAACTCCTTCTTGCTCTGCATCACCCCCCCAGACATCCCAAATATTGAAGGGTTGGGGGGTCTTAAATCCAGTGTAGGGGAGCCCCAGGAACCAGGTTGGGGTGGGAGGATCCCTCCTGAGGAGCAGGCTGGGAGACTGCGTGGCAAAAGGGAGAATTTTTATCCAAGGAACACTCCTAAACATCAGTGGCACAGAGGGGAACCTCCTTCCCAGCCCAGAGGGGCGAATCCAGCATGTCTGAAGCCCTCTGGGTTTAGGGAGCTGCTGGAATAATCAACTGAAACGTTCCCTCTGGGCAAACACCAAAAAAACCCGGGACCCCTCGGTCTCCAGATCTTTCCACCCTCCAGTTGGATGACATTCCCCCAGCGGGCTGGGTACATTTCCAAGGAACTCCTGACTTCTGGGAAGGTGTTACACAACCACACTGCAGCCATTCATGAGTTCAGCACTGGCCTGGTTCCCCCCTTCAAACCCACAACACTCCGCAAAGAAAACATTCTTTCCACTTCAAGCTTTCTCCCTGCCCTGATGGAACCAGCCCGGTTCAGGCACCCAACTCCTTCTTGCTCTGCATCACCCCCCCCACAGGCATCCCAAATTTTGAAGGGTTCCCATGATGGAAAAAAAATAAAATGTTTGGTTTCCCTCAGTTCTAGATCTGGTTTGGTTTTTCAGGCAAGAAATAAAGTTGATATCACCAGACATCCCCGTAGCTGCTGCAGGGAAAGGATAAAATTCCTTGCACTCCTTGTTTTCTAAACTTTTAATATTTCCAACGAGAAGAGGGGGAATTCTTGTGTTTAACATCAAAAGGAGCTGAGAACTGAAAGTCAGAGGGGGAAAATTCTCGAGAGCTGGAGGCCAGAACATTCAATGGTTCGTATTCCAGACCTTTTCCTGGATGCAGGTGTTTAGTCCAGCAGGAACCTGAGCCCCTCCTGTAAGTCCTGGAGCCACATTCTAAGGCCAAACACACCTTGCACCTTCAGATCAGCCCCCAGATCCAACCCCAAATGTTGGGTTCCTGACATCACTCCATTTTTAAGGCAAGTGCCAAATAAACAGACTTCTCCCACAGCAGGAAGAAGGATTTGCTTGGAAGGATTTACTTTAGATGCAGAGAATCCGTGTTATTCTTAAACAAAAAAAAAAAAAAGCAAAGAAAAAGCCAGGGGTGGGACTGAAAAAAAAAATACTGGGATTTTTCAAGTGGTTTGTTCTGTTCTGACACAAACCCAAGCTCCTGTTTTAACCCTGACCCAAAAAATTCCAAGCAGGGGTGCTTTGAGGAGAAATCAAGCTGCCACCACCTCAGGGGCGACGCTGCCAACGCTCCAAGGATTCCTAAATTTCGAGGAGACACCTGAAAACTCACCACTTTTCCTTTTTTCCCCCACCAACCTGAGGAAGTTCAGACACACCCCGAGCCCTTTGTGAAGGCCTGGCTTTTCCATTATGCTCAATCACCTCCATCTGCCCAGGAGAAGTGCCAGGAATTCGACCAAACATGGAAAACCGAGACCTTCAACATGTTGTTTTTATGCTCAGATACAACAACATCTGGTTTGGAGAGATCCCATTTAAAGAAACGTTGATGCCCCTTTAGAAAATGAGTGTTTTTAAACAAATCTCCTCCTTCCAGATTTAATAGGTCACAGATACTCTCAAATATCTTCCTGAATATACCCGTGAATTCCAGAGAATTTGGTTTTTTGCTGAGATTTTAGAAACTCTGCCTTTTTCTAGTGCTCTTTAACTTTTGGGGCCAGTTAAAGAGGAGTAGATCACTTCATGGGGTACTTCTGCAACCTTAAAAACCTGCCTAATGCCACGAGTTCTGTTCATAAAACAACAATTCCCTCCATTAATTCCTTGAATCCAGACCCTGTGCTAACGTGGCCTTGTTTGGGATGAACACACACTTCAGCTGTTTTCAAGGAAGGGGAGTTAGGGAGGATTTAAACACATTTCTGAGGGGAAAGATTTCGAATTTTATACCAACATACCGTGGTTTTAATTACTATTTTCATATTAAATATTTATAATAACAGCTTAACACTAAGAATCCATATTAAATTACGTTTTAAGAAGTTTATTGGCTTTTTGGTGCTTAGTGAAACAGCGAGTTCCATTTCCTGGCTTTCATATATTGATGTTATCTTTTAATGTCCCTCATCACCTTAATTTCCAAGGACATTTTCCATTCCAGATCACTGGAGAAATGTCAAAATCTTCTCCTCCTTTTCCTTCACTGCTCCAAGTGACATCTCCATGCCTTGTTTTGGGAACACTTTATGCAGCCACAGCTGAACCTGTAGGTGAATCAGTTCAAACAGAATTATCCCAGGAAAATTCTTTGACCAGGAATCAAAGCTCTTTTTTTTTCCTGAGTTTTCACTACTTCACTGCTCATATCCCTGAAATCAAGGCTGGATTTGCATTTCCCATTGTACTTCAATTCTGGCACCTTCGAGAAATTCTTCAATTTCCAGAATAATTCTTCAATTTCCAGAATAATTCTTAAATTTCCAGGATAATTCTTCAATTTCCAGGATGACACCTGAGGTGTTTTTAGCTGGTGAAAAAAGGGCTTTTTTTACATTACAGGCCTTTGTAAAATCGACCACTTGGCATCACAGCACTTGAGATCTTTTCAAAACCACCTGCCAAGAAACACAAGTGTTAAAACTGAAGTCTATAAAGTCGAAAATTTTAAAAAATAGGGGTTTCCCCCCCCCAGTTTTCCCCAGGACAACCCTTTTTTCCCCAGCGCTCTCTCCCGATCCCATCCCTGCTGTGCTGGAATTCCATCCTTACTGACATTAAGGATTAATAAACTGCAGATCCTTAAATTAATAAACTGCATTAATCCAGAGTATCTCAGGGCCGGGCCTTTTAATCCCAGGAGAGCCCAATAAACCCCTCAGTGTTTACTGTGAAGGATTTGATGCTCCCCTTGTTCCACGGAGGCATTTTTTGGGAGCTGGGCTTGTTTTCTGGGAGCTGGGCCCGTTTTTTGGAAGCTGGGCCCGTTTTTTGGGAGCTGAGCCTGTTTTCTGGGAGCTGGGCCCGTTTTCTGGGAGCTGGGCCCGTTTTCTGGGAGCTGGGCCTGTTTTTTGGGAGCTGGGCTCGTTTTTTGGGAGCTGGGCTTGTTTTTTGGGAGCTGGGCTCATTTTTTGGGAGCTGGGCTCGTTTTCTGGGAGCTGGGCCCTCACGGCATCTGCCTCATTAACCGCTAATTAGCGAAGATTCAGCAGAATAAACAAAAATCCCTCCCTGAGCCCCTTTTCCACAGGCCCGGCCCTGCAGGATTTGCTGCTCCAAAGGCTCGGGATGGAACAAAACCCCAGCCAGGCCCAGCTCTCCCTGTCCCAGGACATTCCAAGGGGGAAAAAACCCAGGAAGAGACGATGAAGTTCTGGGAAAAGCTCCATTTTCGTCTTTATTAGCACATTTTCCAAGGCCCGGGGAGCTTTTTAGGGATTACAGGGGGATGAAGGAAGCTCTGGGAATGTTGGGATGGTGGCAGATATTCCCAAACAAAAGGCCAGCGTGTGTTGCTACGATCCCAAGTCAAGCTTTGGAGTGTTGTAGTATTTTTTTCCCCAGCTCCTTTTTAGCTTTCCTTCTGTGTCCCTCTCGTGGTAACTGAGCAGAAGTGTCTCATCTGCAGTGGAATAACTTAATTCACAGCCTTCCAACCATTTTTTCCCTGCAGTTTCAGTGCTTTTTTTTTTTTTTTTTTTAAATAATAAAATAGATTTGCTTGAAATTTTGCCAGTATAAAAGAGAAATATTTTCTTATTTAAAAAAAAAAACAAACAACAAACCAAAACAACACAGGTATTCTTTTCCATTTATTACTATTCAGGTGGGGTAGAAGTTTAAGGAATTTTCATCTGAAGATTTGTTTCCAAGGCCAGGACGGGGCTGGAGCAACCTGGGATAGTGGAAGGTGTGGAAAGGTGTGAAAGGGGTGGAACTGGATGAGCTTTAAGGTCCTTCCCACCCAAACCATCCTGAGATCCTCTAAGTTTTAAAACACTCCGAGCTCCTGGACATGAAATAAAAAGAGATGAAATAGAGAAGTGAGAGAAACAAGATTAAATGTGCAGAATAAACGTCCCGACTGCATTTCTTGCTCTATAATATTGATTTATTGCTGGCCCAGCCCTTGCTCAGTTGGGATGTTGAATGTTCCCAGAGCTCCTTCCTCCACATCTGGGCTCTGGTCCCCCCCGATTTCCCTCTTCCACACTTTCTGCTATCCCAGGTTGCTCCAAGCCCCGTCCTGGCCTTGGAAACAAGTCTCCAAATGAAAATTCCTTAAAATTTCCCCTCACCTGCACAGTGATAAATGGAAGAGCAAAGAATAACTGTGTTGGGATTTTTTTTTAAATAAAAAAAAATTTATCTTCTATATCGACAAAATTTCAATCTAATCTATTTTATTATTAAAAAAACAAAAAAAGCCCTGAAACTGCGGGAATAAAAATTGGAAGGCTGTGAATTAGTTATTCCACTGCGGATTGGCTGCTACACCCGTCACTCAAAACTAAGCCCCGCCTCCCGCATGTGTGGGCGGGGCCCACCCACCTCGAAGACCAATTGGCTGCCACACCTGTCATTCAGAACCAAGCCCCGCCTCCCGCCTGTGTGGGCGGATCACACCCACCCCCGCCCCGCCCATCCTTCTCACCTCGAAGACCCATTGGCCGCCGCTCCCGTCACTCAGCCCCAAACCCCGCCTCTCCCCTCCGCCATCTCATTGCCAACCCACCCTCACGCCCCGCCCTGCCCGCTCAACTCCACAACCCATTGGCCGCCGCTCCCATCACTCACCGCCAAAACCCCGCCCCCCTCCTCGCTGCCTCTGTGTGTGAGGGCGAGCGCGCCCCCTGCCGGCCGTTAGGGGGCGCCGCCGCCGCCGCCGCCGCCGTGCGTGTGGCGTCACCCCCCGCTCCCCCCCCCCCCCCCCCCCCCGCGCCCGCGTCACCGCTCCGGGCCTGGCGCGCGCGGCGGCCGCGGCCGCACCGACCCCCCCCCAACCCCCCCCCGCCCGAGAGAGCCCCCGCCGGGACATCCCCCCCCTTTCACGGCCACCCCCCCGACCGGCCCCCGCCGCTCCGCCGCCTCCGGGGGGGGACCCGCCCCGAGCGCCGGGTTCGTTTCTCTTGTCTCTGCCTTCTCTCCGTGCGTCTGTGTGCGTGTGCGCGTGTGTGTGTGTGTGGCCGGGGGGGGGCGGCGCGGCCTGGTGCGCGCGGCGGATCCCGCCGCTCGCGTAGCGCGGCCGCCCGGGCGCTCGCTGAGGGGAAGGGAGGAGGAGAAGAGGCGCCCGCCCAGGCTCCGCCGCCGCCGCCATGAGCGTGGAGGCGTACGGCCCCAGCTCGCAGACCCTCACCTTCCTGGACACCGAGGAGGCCGAGCTGCTCGGCGCCGACACTCAGGGCTCCGAGTTCGAGTTCACCGACTTCACCCTCCCCAGCCAGACCCAGACGCCGCCGGGGCCCGGCCAGGCGGGGCCGCAGCAAGGCCAAGGCCCCCCCGGCGCGGGGCAGGGCCCGCCGGGGCCGCTGGAAGCGCAGGTGAGGAGGGTTTTTGGGGGGTTTCGAGGGCGATGGGGGGGGGGGAGTCCGGAAGGGGCCCGGGTTGGGGTCGGGCTTGGGCGGGGAGCGGGAGCCGCGTGTGGAGCGGGAAAGGGAGCGACGGATCCCGCTTTTGCGGTAAAACGACCGCAAAAGCTCCATGTTATTTCAGTTTTGGTTGTTTTTTTTTCTTTTTTTTTTTTTTTTTTTTTTTTGTTTTTTCCTTTAAACGTGGCTTTGGTTGTCGAAAGTTGGGCGCTGAGGGGAGTTCGGCTTTAATTTTTTATTTTTTTTTTATTTTTTTTTTTAACTTCTCCTGACTAAAATACGCTTCTGCTGTTTAAAAATTTACGGGTTTCGTTTACCGTTCTTATTGGTTTTATCCTCCTTTCCCCCCCCCTTTTCTGCCGCCCCGCTTCGTTTGGGGTTTGCCTCGGAGGGACAGTCGATATTGGCCTGAGGTTTAAGTTCTGCTTCCTCGTGACTTAAAAACAGCTTTCAGGGCCTATTTTTTTTCTTTTTCTTTGCTATAACTCGGTATTAAAACCCATTATATTTGTTTAGCAGTTCACAAAAGCGAAGGGAGGGAGGGAATTTATGTTACATTTTATATTACATGCTCACAAGAAGAGGGGCGAGTGAAGACGTTGTCACTGCTACACCTTCTCTGTGTCTGTAGCAAAAGCGACAAAACCACTGAAAAACTCGTCCATATCTTTAAAAAACTCCCACTTTTCTGCGTTTTAAAGACGGTGGAAAGCTCAGTCTCGTTACACTCGTGTTGTCCCATTATTAACAAGCAAATGCTTGCACATTATCCACGTGTTAAGGGCTGAGTTTAAGGAGGAGTTGAAAGTTTTAGGTAAGTTGTTTTTTTTTTATCGCGGAGCCGATTTTTTTTGGTCGCCTTTTGCTCGCCAAATTTTGTAGCATCGGGGGGCTGCGAGAGGAGCAAAGGGGCGGCAGACCCAGCGCTGGGGATCCACAGGTGCAGAGGGCGGGACTGGAGGGGTTTTTATCCTGTCCTGGGGGTTTATCCCGGGACGAAGTGAGTCACTTTTGGTGTCTGAGAGCACTCGGTGACATCCTGGGTGGTGTCACAGGATGTGCTCAGGGCAGTGTGTTCAGAAGGCAGAGCCTGGGCTGTTTGTTTATTTTCTTTTACGTTCACGTTTGGGTGGAATTTCTCCACTTTTGAGCGTTGAGAGATCAGAATTATTTAGTAAAAATCCTGTCTGTGTACAGACTACACACGAATCGATTTAAAATTTGTAATAAAACCTCAAGTTTTTAAAGCTTTAATGGCTTGTGATCACTCCAGAACTCCCCAGTAGAGAACATATGGCCAGCAAAAGGAGAAAAACCACCCCAAAATAAGCCCCATAAGCTAAAAGACCAGACAAGAGGATTAATAATTGGTCTTTTTTTTTTTTCTTTCTTTCTTTTTGTCTAAACATGTTTGAAAAGCCTTTGAAGTGAAAAGGAAAAAAAAAAAAAAAGTCCTAAAAGATCTGGAGAGCACATTCAGGTGCTGCTGTGTCTGGCAAAGAGGAAGGGATTTTATGGTTGTTTTTTCCCTTTTAATCTATTTCTGCAAACTCTCGTGGTCATTCTGGTCCTCAGTTTGACTTTAGAAACGTGGGTTTTTGGGGAGGGCGTGGAGGGAGAAGGGATTTATTGCAACAAGGCCCTCTCAGAAGTGGAATAAGAATCGTTTCCTCCTGAGCTGGAGTCAAACAAACCCCCTGGATCTGCTCAGACTTGCCCTTTCAGAGGCCTCACGGGTGATAAGATCAGAAATTAGGTGTGTTTGGTGTGTTTGGTTTTTTTTTTTGTTTTTTTTTAAAGGTTCTGGGGGAAATTTTGCTGCCTTCAACAAAATTAACTGAAGCTTGTTGTGCCTTTTGGCAGGGGGACTATTAAATGATAGCTTCCAAACTGATCACATTTTCCTTAATTAAATATTATTCCCGTGATTATAATTAAAGCTAATTAAATAAATAGGTGAAGCTGCTGAAGGTGTAAACTTCTACTCTGCTGTTTCATGTCCTGGTGTTTAAAAAAAAAAAAAGTAGTTGAGCAGTGCAGGGCACATGATTTTTTTTATTTTATTTTTTTTTAGGGAAATGTGATGGATTAGTCTCTAAAAACTTAGTTTATTTAGTTAATAAAGTTTTATTTTGTATATTTAATTAATAGTTTAAGAGGCTGTTAAAATTGATTAGTGTCCAATGGACAAAAGATAAAGGGCAGGCATTCTCTGCTGGTTTTAATTCAGGAAACTGTATTCCCATTGTTTCCCTCTAATGAAATATAAGAATGGATTTGCCTGAATGTTTTAAGGTGAATTTAAAGGTGCCCAGAGAAGCTGTGGCTGCTCCATCCCTGGGAGTGTCCAAGGCCAGCTTGGAGCAACCTGGGCCAGTGGAAAGTGTCCCTGCCCGTGGCAGGGGGTGGGACTTGTTGACCTTTTAGGTTTTTCCAACCCAACCCAATCTCTGATTCCCCGAAATTCTCATTTCTGCCTCGTTTTTCCCCTCCTGAGCCAGGGCCTGTCCCAGCCATGCCCCCGGTGTGGCTGTGGGAGCTGAAGCTGCTGGAGTGGTTGAAGGAAGCTGGGGCAGCCCTCAGGTTTTTGGGTGGTTTTTTTTTTTTGGTCTAGACTCTGGAGGCTGGGTTTGATTTCCAGCCCTAACAAAGCCCTTTTTTGTCTCAGCAAAATGACTTCTTGTTGCTCGGGTCCCATCTGGAAGCTCGGCCCAGGGTGGGGTGTGGGGGCAGAGCTCTCACCAAGAGCCACTTCCTCCTTTTGAAAGGGAAAGCAGATCAGCCTTCAGAGGGATTATCAGACCCTCCAGTAAATACTTCAGGGCCTCAGAGCAAAGAATCTACAAACAATAACTCAGATTATCCATCCAAGTCCAAAAAAATGCGTGTTTTCCTAAGTATAATTCCAGGAGAATTCCCTGGATTGGGCCCATCTGCAAACGCATCCCCACGGCTGCTGGGGCCGAAGGCTTTGGTGCAAAAGCCCTTTTGCAGCCCAGCACCTCCTGAAGTGCAATTAGTTTTCCTGTTCCAGCTTGAAAAGCAGCACTTTCAAGTGGAAGTGCAGGAGGTGGCTCCAGGTGTGCTCTCCTGGGCTGGGTGGGGTGTGAGAGCCAGGAGAGCCAGCGGGAATGGGGCTGGGAATGTTCTCTGGGGACTCACACCTGAGAATCCTGGGCTGGTTTGGCCTGGAAGGGACCTTAAAGCCCGTCCAGTCCCACACCTTCCACTCTCCCAGGCTGCTCCAGCCTGGCCTTGGACACTTCCAGGGATCCAGGGGCAGCCACAGCTTGGACTTTGTTGTCCCCCAACCACTATTCCAGAGGCCAGGAAAGGATCGGGGAAGTCCCAGGGGTGGTTCTGTGGCACCTCAGCTTTGGAGCTGCTCAACTTGCTGTGCCAGAAGTTGCAGCCAACACTTGGAAAATAGAGAAGTTCCCCCCCCCCTCCTTCTCTCTCACACACACACACAACAGTTCCTGCTGCCAGATTTTTAATCCTGTGCACATAAAGTGACATCCCAGGAGGGTTGGGAACAATCACTTCCTCCTTGGGAGCCTGCCAGGGCCTCTGGCTGCCGCTGGATCTTCCCGGGACAGGTGACATCAGTGACATCAGTGACATCATCCCTGCCCAGCTGAGGGCAGGAGCTCGCCAGGGGCTCACCAGCACGGTCACCTTATGCACAACTACAAGGAACTTGCAGTTATTTCTTCATTTTCTGCCCTAAAAAGGAAAAAAACAAACAAACAAAAAAAAAACCCTAAGAAAACCCAAGTTTTCCAATTGTATTCTGGCTCCCTTTTTAGGAGCACCCAAGAAATGTATTAAATGTATTGAAATGACCAATTAAATTTGTCAGCTGGTGTGTATTAATAGTGTCTTTGGAACAGAAAAATGCACCTGTTTTGGGGTAGAAAAAAACAGAATAGAAAAATGTGCCTGTTTCAGGCCAGAAAAAGCCTGGTAGTGCTGCTGCTTCTGAGAAATTCAGCTGAGCTTAAAGCTTCAGAATTCCACCTGTTCCACGCTCAGTTATGAAGCTGTTGCCCTGTTTTCTGAGATGGCACTATCAATTTGAAATGGATATATCCATTTAAATGGATATTTCTCTCCTCACATCCATGCAGATGCTGCTGCCCAGGGAGGCATTTGCCTTCCTCACACTGGTGGCTTGTGCTGCTGCTGCACCTCCTTCAGTGGGTTTTGTTGGGTTTTTTTCAATTCCTTTTTCCCCTCTGCTGATGGTTCCTCTTGGTTGATTCTCTCTGCTCAAAGCCATCCATAAAAAGAGCATTTAAACTGTGTTTTACAAACGCACCTCATTTCATTTGGAGGGGAGGAAACCCAGCCCAGTCCAGTCCCCAACTGCTGAGGGCGAGTGTGAAGTGGCTCCTGCTTGGTTTTAACTTTAACCCTGTTCAATTTTAATATTGCAACTGCCTGGCCTGGAACCCAAAGGAGACTTTCAGAGGAGTGAGGTGGTTTTGCTTTGCTTGGGAGTCTCAACAGCTTGAAAATGCTGCAGCAACTGTTTCAATCAGATTTTTATTTTTCTTTTGACTAAAGGTTTGGTGTTCTCACTGGGGACAGTTTTCTTTCAGATATCTGATAAATTGCATTAAATCTCAGTGCAAACCAGTTGTTAAAATGCTGTTTTCTCAGAAAAAAAAGTGATTTTTTTTTTTATCCTCTCATTTGTAGATAAATCTCGTCCAACCAAATATATTTCTGAAACATTGGGAGGGGTTAATACACCTGAATTTGCTGTGATAGGGAAGTTACCTCAGCACTGATTTCATGTTAATATTGTGTAATCACTGCTGTCACTGTGGGGATCCCTTTCCCACCTTTTTCCACTCAAAATTACCCTGGATTGTGACATACTTAGCCCTCCTCAGGTTTGGTGGGATCTTGGCTGAACAAGTCCAAGAACAAAGTGTCTGAGCACAGTTTTTGGGGGGTGCTGAAGGTGCTGAAGCCCCTCATTGCTGGAATGAAACCAGGACACCTGGGAGGCCCAAGAGGCACCACCTGGCCTGGCCATGCCAAAATCCAAGTGACATCCACACCCCTTTTGCTCCTTCCTGCTGGGAAATGTGCCCAAAAAAGGAGTTATTTTTACCAGGAGAAAGGCGGGGGGGGGGAATGGGGGTGCAAAACTTGCTGACCCAGCACCAAATGGTGCAGAATTCCCTGATTCTGGCATTGGTGTGTCAACAACAACAGGAATAAGTGAGGGCAGTCCTGTACAGCAAAGATCCTGTTTTCAGGTGGATCCCTGAAATTAAAAAAAAAAATAGGAGAAAAAAAAAAAAACCAAACCCAGTGTTTGATCCTGCTGGAATATTGTTTAAATGGAATTCTGTTATGCAAGGCTGGGGAAAAATGGGACTGCAGCAAAGCAATCTCCTTTTGGCAACTTTTTTTCCCCCCCTCACTTATCAGCTGGAGAGTTTAACTAATCCCAGGAAGCAGGAGGTAATGGGGCAGGTATTGATTAGGAGTTATGTAAGGCTGGGGAAAAATGGGACTGCAGCAAAGCAATCTCCTTTTGGCAACTCTTTTCCCCCCCACTTATCAGCTGGAGTTTAAATATTCCTGTAAACCAGGAGCTGATGGATTGAGTCCATAATGTGTGTTTTTCGGCTCTTAGGAACATTTTTCTTCCCTGTTGAGGGTTTTAAAGGAAACACAAGCATTTGCTGGGAGGAGTAGGGGTGGTTTTCCTTGGCTTTGTGGTGGTTTGGGGGCAGAACTGGAGCTCTGAGCTGTGTTCCAGGTGAATGGTCCCGATGGGATCCTGCAGAACGGGGCTGTGGATGAGAACGTGGCCAAGACCAGCCAGCTCCTGGCAGAGCTCAACTTTGAGGAGGATGAGGAAGACACCTACTACACCAAGGATCTCCCTGTGCATGCCTGCAGGTAAAACCCAGGCTTTATTCCCAGAGGGAAGGAGCATTTGGTGGGAATGAAAGGGAGATTCGGGCATTTTGAGACCCTCTGAGCTCCTGGACAGACTTAGAGCTGCCACATCCACTCCTGGTCAGCTCTGAACTCCCTGGGGGAATGAAGACAAGGATCAGCCCCCCCAGGGATGGCAGTGGTGGGAGGGTCAGCTCTGAACTCCTTTGAGGAATAAACACAAGGATCAGCCACCTTAGGGATGGCAGTGGTGGGAGGGTCAGCTCTGAACTCCTTTGAGGAATAAACACAAGGATCAGCCAACTTAGGGATGGCAGTGGTGGGAGGGTCAGCTCTGAACTCCTTTGAGGAAGAAACACAAGGATCAGCCACCCCAGGGATGGCAGTGGTGGGAAGGATTAAAATATTTGTGCCTCAGAACAGAAGCTTGGCTCGTGTCCCAGGCCCTTCCCACCCCTCATGTTCCCCAGTCTTCACTTCCCCTTATTTTTGGGCACTGCTGAGTGGCTTAGATCTCACATTGGAATTTTCCTGGGAGCAATCACCCAGTCACTTCCTGGTTCTTTCCTCCTGAATTCCAGTTACTGTGGGATCCACGACCCTGCCTGTGTGGTTTACTGCAACACCAGCAAGAAGTGGTTCTGTAACGGGCGTGGGAACACCTCGGGCAGGTAAGGGGGGAAAGGAGGGAAATCTTGGCACAATTCCGGGTTTGGAGGGTTTGTTTGGAAGTGTTGTGGTGGCTGCCACTTACTCAGGGGATAAACAAAGCCTGGTGACTTAAAAGTGAGGAATTTTTTGACACATTTCCTATTCTTTCACACTAAACTACCTCGAAACACCCGTGCACTGAGAGACCAGTGGTGGTGGGTGAAAAGAGCAACATCTGCCACAATAAATAGATTTTATTTGTGCCTTTAATCAATTCAGTCGGGACTAAACGTGACGTTCCCACGAACTGGCTACAAATGGATCTCCTCTCTGCTTTCAGCCACATTGTGAACCATCTGGTGAGAGCCAAGTGCAAAGAGGTGACTCTCCACAAGGATGGACCTCTGGGGGAGACCGTCCTGGAGTGCTACAACTGCGGCTGTCGGAACGTGTTCCTCCTGGGCTTCATCCCAGCCAAGGCAGACTCCGTGGTGGTTCTGCTGTGCAGGTGAGAGGAGGCCTCTGCTGCCACCTTTGTGCTTTCTAAAGGGCAGCTCTTGGCCTTCATTTTGCACCAAAGTACCTTTTATGCTCTTGTTTTGCCACCCCTTTTTCCTTGGGATGATCACACAGACTTCAGGGTTGCAAGCAGGTAATGCAGGAAAGGAAAGTTCTGTTGTGCTGGGCAGATATTGGAGTTTTATAGAGAAATATTCCTCCCAAAGGAAGGATTCCTTGGTGGGAGAAAGGTGGGGTTTTTTACCCCTTTTTTACCTGAGATTTTCCAGCTTTGGAAGAGGAACAGACCAGTCCAGGAAGTTACTCTGGAGTAGTGACTCTTCCACAGGGTGTTTTTCCTCTCAGCTCATGGAATCATTGGAGACAGCAGTAAATCAGGAATTGTTCTCTGACAGGTTCAGTCAGGTTTTATAACTGTATTTTAATTCAGTGCTGTCACTTAGCTTGTATCTGACAGTGGACAGTGTGTTTCTGTGGAATGAGTCCTACTTGTTTAAACAGCAGATGGGAAGTAATCCCATTTTCTGCTATAATGGGCTGTAACCACTCCCAAGGGTGTCATATTTGACATTTCAGATGCAGACATTTTCAGCCCTAGAAACACCCAACCAACACTTCTTACAACACTGACCCTTCCCAGTGTTGAAACAACAAACACAAGAGCTAAAAAACTCAATTTTCACAGCAGACTGGGGTTGTTTTGCCTTTTTTTTCCCCCCTTTTAACCGAGATATTTGAGTTGTTTCAGGAGCCACACACTAAACCCAGTTTTACTCCTTCCATGTGTGTAATCATTCATTTTTTTCCTTGTTTTGGTCGTGCAGGCAGCCCTGTGCCAGCCAGAGCAGCCTGAAGGACATCAACTGGGACAGTTCCCAGTGGCAGCCCCTCATCCAGGATCGCTGCTTCCTCTCCTGGCTGGTGAAGATCCCGTCGGAGCAGGAGCAGCTCCGGGCCCGCCAGATCACGGCCCAGCAGATCAACAAGCTGGAGGAGCTCTGGAAGGTACCTGCTGCTCCTCAAACACTGCTCAGCTTATCCCAGAGTGCCAATTCCGGGGGGCTGGGAAGGAGGGAAAAGATTTTGGCCACTGGGAAAGGCAGGGAAATACTGAAATCACACCCCTGGACAAGGGGAATTGCCAGAGGGTTCAGTTGTTCAGAGTGGGAAAGCTTCACCTTTAGGTTCTTCAGCCATCTGAAAAAGCAGCTTTCCCCGTATCAAGTCTTCCCACGTGTTTCTGCTTTAGATGTTGGGCAGCTGGGCTGTTAATTATTATTTTTTGAGGGGTTTCTCTGTACATCCCTTAGAGCAGGACAGACCTGGCTGGATTTATTGGAATGCCTTGGTGTAGCTTTTACACCTTGGTGCAACTCCCTGTGGTACCAAGGCACAAGTCCTGGTGTCACTTCTTTATCCTTCAGGCTTTGAAACGAAACACCTGTGCTTTAAATTCCAGGAAAATCCATCTGCAACCCTGGAGGACTTGGAAAAGCCTGGTGTGGATGAAGAACCACAGCACGTCCTGCTTAGATACGAAGATGCTTATCAATACCAAAATATATTTGGTCCTCTAGTCAAGCTTGAGGCAGATTATGACAAGAAACTCAAGGAATCTCAGGTAATTTGCTTGAAATTTGCCTGTTTGAGGGGTTTTCTGACCAGTCCTCTGGTGTCAAACTCAGGGTCACTGTTCGAGCACAGAAGGAAGCTTTAAGTGGAATAAATATCTTAATTACTGGGCTGTAACAGCACTTTAATATCAGTGGGAGAGGAAAGAAAAATCCTCCAGCTGAGGTTTTTCTTTTTTTAAGAGCTTGAAACACTTGGGAGCTTCCATGTTTTTTGTGTTGGAAGTTTTTCTTTCCAAGAACAATGTTCTGTCCCGGGGCTGCAACTTGAGCCCCCCCTGTGTGTTGTTCCCCTGGTGACCTGCAGGACCTCAGTGGGACCTGCCAGTGAAACCTGAGTTCTGTGAGGTCATGGAAGCCCTTCAGGAGTGTTGGGGAGGTGGAGGACAGAATAACCCAGGTGCTGATTAGGGCTTTGTTTCTCACAACTCGCTTTTGTAGAACAGAATTAACCTCCTACAGATGGTGGCAGCTCAGTCCAGAGCAAGAAATACAGATTTCTGTGACACTGGAACACCAGGTTTTGGTGTTTTCAAGCACAGTTGGCAAACAGCTCTTTAAGAACACAATAAACAGCTCTTTAAGAACATAATAAACAGCTCTTTAAGAACATAATAAATGCCTTTTTTTTTCTTTCACCCTTAGACCCAAGATAACATCACAGTCAGATGGGACCTGGGCTTGAACAAGAAGAGAATTGCTTATTTCACTTTGCCAAAGACTGACTCAGGTAATCACAACTGGGTTGTTTTGTGGGGGGTTTTTTTATACCTGGTGAAAAAAACCTCAATGTTTGAAGAACTGTGAGGATCTGACCTGGGACAGCAGGTAGTTCTTGGAGGGTTTTTATGGTGAGAGATGGTTGCTGAGAGCATTTTTTTCCCCTTCCTTTGCAGACATGAGGCTCATGCAAGGAGATGAGATCTGCCTGAGGTACAAAGGAGACCTGGCCCCGCTGTGGAAAGGAATTGGTCACGTTATCAAAGTTCCTGATAGTATCCTTTACTTAAATAAAGCTCAGCCTGGAGCTGCAGCCTCTCCAAGAAGCCATTAAATAAGTCCAGAAGTAATTCTGAGATAATTTCAATTTGTCCTGGGGGGTGATCTTGCTGTCAAAAAAAAAAAAAAATGACCAGAATTGGGGAAAATAAAATTCAAATTGTTGCTATAGATTACTACTTAACAAGGTTCTACAGATTATGGTGATGAGATTGCCATCGAGCTGAGGAGCAGCGTGGGAGCCCCTGTGGAAGTTACTCACAACTTCCAAGTGGATTTTGTATGGAAATCTACTTCCTTTGACAGGTATTGGGAGAACACTTCAGAACCTGGCACGGGGTCGGTGCAGGTTCTGTGGGTTTTTTTTTCTCTTTGCCTCCAATGGGTGGTTTTGATCCAAAAAAAGTTGTGTTACTTTGACACCAGCAATCAGAAATCTCAGTGTGTGGAGTGTGGGAACACCTGCTTCCTAGAGCAACTAGATTTTTGACTAGAAATGGAATGTCTTAAAATGGTCAATTTTTCCCATTTTGAAGGCACTCTTAAGGTTTGCTGCAAAGGGGGGAATTCACCTTCTGTTTAGTAATATTTGAAATGTGAGAAGAAAAAACAGTTTTGTCGTTCAGCTTCCTCTGGAGGGAAGTGATGCCTGGTTTTAGTTGGCATTCCTGAGCTTGGAGTTGCTTTAACTGGTTAAAATTTCAAGACATTTGGGGTCAATGGGCTTCAGCCACATCTGTACTGCATTTTGTAGGTTGGCTTATTATCCTGTTGTTAGGATATTAGAATTTCCTTTTATTAGTATATCCTAGTAGTAGTAGTAGTGATATATCCTATTCTTTATTATGAGTGCAATTTTTCTTCAAATCTTGCACCTAAAATCACTGTCCCAGCTTCTGCCAAAGGCTGGTGTCCCTCTACACGTTTTTCTGGTTCCTTTGTAATGTTCACATGGAGAAAAACAAGCTCTGTGTTCTGAGAGTGTAACTTTTTTGTCCCTTAACTCTCTTAATAAGTCTTTTTCCACTGCTCTCTTTTCCAAGAAGTGTAATTTCAATTTGTGCCCGCTGCCTGCTGAACCTTGGCATGGGATGGTTGACTTGAGGTCATGCTGATCTCCCTGACTTATTTTTCATCCCTTCCCTCATTTCAGGATGCAGAGTGCTCTCAAAACCTTTGCTGTGGATGAGACCTCAGTGTCTGGGTACATCTATCACAAGCTGCTGGGCCACGAGGTGGAAGATGTGATTATTAAATGCCAGTTGCCAAAGCGCTTCACAGCACAAGGACTCCCTGATCTCAACCACTCTCAGGTAACCCCCTCTCCCCTTGGCTACGTGAAGGATTTAGGAATGGAGGTTAAACAACTTCAACATCCTATGCATTGAATGCTAAATTGGCAATAAACCCCATTTTTATAGGTTTATGCTGTGAAAACTGTCCTGCAGCGTCCTCTGAGCCTTATTCAGGGTCCCCCTGGCACTGGGAAGACGGTGACATCAGCCACCATCGTGTATCATCTGGCCAGACAGGGCAACGGGTAAGAGCTGCTCTCTCCAAGTCTTGATGCATGAGGTGACTTTCTTAATGGAAGGAATCACCTTGATTTTAAAACCCAAACTCATTCCTATCATTTACTGCCATTCTCTGGGAAGGCTTGGGCTGGGTTCAGCAAATACCCTTCCCCAGCCCATTATTTTCAGAGGGGGTGTCATTGCACATTGTTTCACTATGAGTCTAGTGGAGAAAAATCTGCAGCTTGCTGAGCCTTGCTGGCTGGTGTTTCCCCAGGCCTGTGCTGGTGTGTGCCCCCAGTAACATCGCCGTGGACCAGCTCACCGAGAAGATCCACCAGACCGGGCTGAAGGTGGTGCGTCTGTGTGCGAAGAGCAGGGAGGCCATCGACTCCCCCGTGTCCTTCCTGGCACTGCACAACCAGATCAGGAACATGGACAGGTGAGGAACGAGCAGAACCCCCTGGTTCTGGTGCTGTGAGGGACACGACTGGTGGATGTTGTCGTAGCTCAGTTATTTGCTTGACTTTGCTCTTCTGTACGTGTCACGATTGGTTAAAAATTACTTTCCCTGTGATCCTACAAACAGTCAGGCCCTAAAGCAAAATTCCTGATTTATTTATTTATTTTTTTTTGCAGCATGCCAGAGCTTCAGAAACTGCAGCAGCTCAAAGATGAGACTGGAGAGCTCTCATCTGCCGACGAGAAGCGTTACCGGGCGCTCAAACGAACCGCGGAGCGGGAGCTGCTCATGGTGAGGATCCCCGTGCTCTGCTCCCCCCTGACCTGAGCTGCAGCTCACTGCTGGAGCTCAGAGCACCTGGGGGGCATTCCTGGGCTGGTTTTGAACGCTGTCCAGGGCGGGAGCTGGGTGACTGGTGCTGTGTTTCTGCCCCAGAACGCGGATGTGATCTGCTGCACCTGCGTGGGCGCCGGGGATCCCAGGCTGGCCAAGATGCAGTTCCGCTCCATCCTCATCGATGAGAGCACCCAGGCCACCGAGCCCGAGTGCATGGTGCCCGTTGTGCTGGGAGCAAAGCAGGTGAGCCCCTTGCATTCCAGCACAGAAGGAGTTTCTAAATCCAGCAGGCAGCACCGAGCAGTGACATTCCCCGTGTAGGCACGCAGGGATGCAGAATTCTTCCCTTTTCCTGAAAGACACCTCCGTGGTACAAACCTGAACGACTCTGGGTTGTGTTAGTCCTGTCAGCTCTCGGTTTCCATGGCGTAATCTTTGCCTGGAACATTTTCTGCTCTTGGAACAATCTGGAGGCTGAATAAGCTTTTATTTCCAAATGATCAGCTGCAAAGCGAGTTGACACTAAAGGTTCCTAAGCCTTAGGTGAGACCTGAAGCTTATCACAAGCCAGACTGGTAAGTTCCTAATACATCAGGCAGTGGTTTAAGCTGACAGAGGGTGGGTTTAGATTGGATATTCAGGAGAAATTATTCCCTGTGAGGGTGATGAGGCCCTGGCACAGGATGCCCAGAGAAGCTGTGGCTACCCCATCCCTGGAAGTGTCCAAGGCCACGTTGGAGCAACCTGGGAGAGTGGAAGGTGTCCCTGCCCGTGGCAGGGAGTGGAACTGGATGATCTTTTAAGGTCCTTCCAACCCAAACCACCCTGTGATTCTCTATATTTTAGTAGGATATTGCCATTGTTTTAAACGAGTTTCAGAAAATAAACTTTCTCTACGCGCTCTTCTTCCCCACAGCTCATTCTGGTGGGTGACCACTGCCAGCTGGGGCCCGTGGTGATGTGCAAGAAAGCTGCCAAGGCTGGGCTGTCCCAGTCCCTGTTTGAGAGGCTGGTGGTGCTGGGGATCCGGCCCATCCGGCTCCAGGTGCAGTACCGGATGCATCCCGCCCTCAGCGCCTTCCCTTCCAACATCTTCTACGAGGGCTCGCTCCAGAACGGGGTCACTGCAGGTGAGCAGCCACTCTGCTCCCCCAGAGGCACTGGGGAGGTCAAAGACAAGCTTCTTTAACCTGGGTTATTCCTTTGGAATGAAGAGAGTTGCCACTGCCCTTAGTTTGGAGTATTTATGGAAATATCCAAGTGTTCCTGTTAACTTTGTTCCACCTGCTGTTCCCCTGCTCCTCAGCTGACCGTGTGAAGAAAGGCTTTGACTTCCAGTGGCCACAGCCTGACAAACCAATGTTCTTCTACGTCACCCAAGGACAGGAGGAGATTGCCAGCTCAGGCACCTCTTACTTAAACAGGTAAATAAAACTCAGGCAGGTAAAATAAAACTCCCCTCTGACATCCACACTCGGGTGCTGGGCCACCAGGACTCAGGGCTGTTCATTCCCATGCTCTGAGTTAATAAAACCTCAGGGGTAATTAATGACCAGTTGAAGTGGCTCGTGGGCCTCTTGAACAAAAGCTGCCATGGAGGATGGTGCAGCCTGAGCTGCAGGTTGGGGTTGGTTTGCCCTGGGCTCCCTGTACAGTAAACCAGGAGAAAAAGGCACCAAGTGGGAGCAGTTCAGAGCTTAAGTGGGTTTGAATTGCTCTGTGGAGGAGTTTGTCTTCCTTCACTGGTTGTGTAAGGTTGTATAAGGGGTGATAAAGTGCCTGATCTGTGGGATGAATAAACTGACTGCAGTTACAGCAGGAAATGCTGATCCAGTTGCATTTTGAAGCCAGAATTCCAGCTGCTCCTGAAGCAGAGCCCTAAATCTTGGATTTTAGTGGTGGTGCAGAAGGGATGGGAATTTAAATTTTCTTTTTCCTACCCCTTTTTTCTGCACAGTCCAACTTCTTTGTCAAAGAAGGAGCTTAAACCACTTTGTTCCTCTTGGTTGTACATGTTTTGTTCATGTGCCTGGAAGGGAAACCAAGACCAAGCTCTGAAAAATAACTGCTGAGATATTTTTAATCCCAGTCTGCTTTCCTGAGCAGCATGTGCAAGACTGGAGACAGCAGAGCAGATTGTGCACAAACAAACAGCACAATAATTGGCTGATTGACATTAAAAACAGTTCTGCATTTGAAGCTTTGAGATAAAGCACCTGAAGGATCCGTTTGCACGGCAGGTTGGGGTTGTTTTGGATGGTCTGGGTTATAAAAGCACACGTGGACATCTGACTCTACCAAAAGTTCCATTTGCTGTTCCAGGAAGTCCAGTTGTGTAATTCTGAGAAGGTGGAGGTGCACCTAAGGAGAAATTTGTGTCATTCTGAGACCTCTGAGATGTTGGGTTTGGCCTGTGTCCCTCTGGGGTGAGATCTGAGTCGAGAGGTGACAGTGGGGAATGTTCCTGAGCTGAGTTAGTCTGAGCAGTGCAGAATTGATCTTTTTATTGGAGTGGCCTCACAGCATCCGTGTTCAAGGTCTTTAGACCCATTAAGCTGCAAAAAATGAGACCTAATGTGTCTAATCCTCCTTGGATAATCCAACCTCTCTCCCCTCTAGGACGGAAGCTGCCAACGTGGAGAAAATCACCACGAAGCTGCTGAAGGCTGGTGCCAAACCAGACCAGATTGGCATCATCACTCCTTACGAAGGGCAGCGCTCCTACCTGGTGCAGTACATGCAGTTCAGTGGCTCCCTGCACACCAAGCTCTACCAGGTACAGATGAGAGCACAGAGAAGCCAGAAAAGCCTCACAAATATTTTCATTTTCAGTCCGTGTTGGATTTTTGCACTTTTTAGTTGACTGGTTAAAACAGAGCAGGGAGAGGAGTTTGGGAGGTGGTTGCAGGGGCCAGGGGAGCAGCTGAACAGGTAAAAGGAAGAAGCCCTGCTGAGATCTGTGTTGAAAGGAAGGGTCCTGAGGCCCAGAAGGGAGAGGCCACTGGGGCTCCAGCTGTGGAAAAGTTTGTGTTTTGGATAAAGAGACACAGGAAAACAAGCTCTGTAAATTCTGATGGTCGTACTATTTATTTGCTTGGGAACATGTCCTCCCATCAGTGGGACTCCTCTACCAAACATCAGAATTAGTTGCTGCAAACAAGGCAATTATATGTTTAATCCAGTCTTGTTTTGCAATATTGGGAACTCGCTCAGTGTTTTCACTGAAGGGAAACTTGGTGGAGATACTTTTCCTCGTGCCAGGAATGATCTGTCCCTGTGATTCAGGTTTCTGGGAGCTGGGAGCAGCAGTGCTAATTTGGACCTCTCTTCCTGTGGGGTTTAGGAATACTCAGAATTCTCCCTGGCAGCATCCCAGCAAAGGGCTGATTCCCACAGTTTGGGGGAAATGGGAGGACCATAAAGCAGTGAACACGACAGCAATTCCTCCTAAACTGAGGCTCTCTGTTCTCCTCCAGGGAAACTATTTCGTGACCAGTGGAATTACCAAATCATTCCTCATTCCAAAAGTAACATTTTTGTCCAGTGATGGCAGGGTTAGTGCGTGGCCAGCACGTCTGGCAGTGCCTGGTGGTGGCAGAACTGTTTGGCTTCCGTGATTTACGTGTTTTCCCTCCCTTTCAGGAAGTGGAAATTGCGAGTGTGGATGCCTTCCAGGGCAGGGAGAAGGACTTTATTATCCTTTCCTGTGTGAGGGCCAACGAACACCAGGGAATTGGGTTCCTCAACGACCCCAGGAGGCTCAACGTGGCCCTTACCAGGGCGAGGTAAAGCGGGATTGGGCAGGGAGGGAACCTGCAGGAAAGATGGAGAGAGACTTTGGACAGGGGCCTGGAGGGACAGGACAAGGTGGAATGGCTTCACTGACTGGTTAGGTGGAATATTGGGAAGAAATTCTTCCCTGGGAGGGTGGGGAGGCCCTGGCACAGGTTGCCCAGAGAAGCTGTGGCTGCCCCAGCCCTGGAAGTGTCCAAGGCCAGGTTGGAGCAACCTGGGCTAGTGGAAGGTGTCCCTGCCCATGGCAGGGGGTGGGATTGGATGGGCCTTAAGACCCTTTCCATCCCAAACCATTCTGTGCCATCTCTCTCTGTTCCTCTCAGCCCAGGCAGTGTTCCCATTTGGCATCAGTAGTTTTCAGACTGTGTCCTTCCCCTCTGTTCTCGGGACAGATCCCTTCCCTGCTTCTTTACCCCTTCCAAAAACCATTTTTGGACCATTTTGCTTCGAAGGGATTTGATTCCAAGAGAGGTGATGTGGAATCCAACACGATGTTGGTTGTCTCCCTTGTTTCCTGGGAGCTTTGGAACCCAGCAGGAGGTGGTGGTTGTTGGCACACACTGACGGGTTGGGCAAGCCTGAAGGAGGAAGTCTGTGACTGTTGAGAAAGTGGCTGCAGCAACCTCCTTCCAGGTGTTTTGTCATGCTGTGGAAAACATCTGCTGTAAACAAACCAGTTGCACCTCCTGCTCTCTTGGCTGCTTCAGCTGAGAGATGGATTTGGAGGCTGCTCCACCAGCAGTGTTTAATTTGATTTACATCGATTGATTTTTAACGAACTTAACTCGAGCTCCTCTGCTGCTGCACACAGGTATGGAGTAATTATTGTGGGGAACCCCAAAGCCCTGTCTAAGCAGCCACTCTGGAATCACCTCCTGAATTACTACAAGGAGCAGAAGGTGCTGGTGGAGGGACCACTGAACAACCTCCGGGAGAGCCTCATGCAGTTCAGCAAACCCCGCAAGCTCGTCAACACCATCAACCCCGTGAGTGAGCCCTGCTGCCCCTGGGGGCTGCCACAGGGGGCACTTGGGGCTTGATTGATTAATTATCAGTTGCAAACGGGTGGAATGAACAGTCCCCAGCACAGCCTCACACCCCTGGAACTTTGCATGGCCTGGTTGGTGCGGTGGGACCCCGGGAAGCGGCTGCTTCAGCTGTCCCTAGGTTGGAATTTTGGGGGTTTTTAAGCTACAGTTTCCTGAGGGGTGAGTTCTGAGGTGAATGAAGCACAAAGGAACTGCTCTGTGTAGAAATGGCAAGCTCATGAGGCAGATGGAACATCACAGCGTTGCATCAAACCCTCAACCTGCAAGTTTTATACTTGATTGTTTAACATAAAATAAGGAGTTGTTGGGGGGGAGCTTGTCAGCCCTCACAGGGCAGTGGTGTGAGTAGAACAAGGGGAAAAACTATCACCAGAGCCTTCAAATAGGCTGAAAACCCATCAAATGTTTCACACTTGGAGAGAGGCTGCCTGTAAAATCTTAACTCCTCGTGGTCAAGCTGCAGCTGAAAAAATAACCAGAGGTTTTCCATGTCTTGGGACTAATTCATTTCCTCAACACTTGCAAACTGGACGTGATCTGTGGGGTTTTACTGGGTTTTTGTTTCACTGAGGTTGCAGGGCAGAGTTTTCAAGGCAGAGGCTTTGTCTAACTCCCCTAATCCTTGCAGGGTGCCCGTTTCATGACCACTGCCATGTATGATGCACGTGAGGCCATTATTCCAGGATCTGTCTATGACAGGAGCAGTCAAGGTAATTATCAAAATTAGCACCTTTATAGATTGATTTTTTTTGTTTGTTTGTTCCCCCTGACTGGTCCTTGAGGTGTGTGGTATTTTACACACTTTAAGCTTTTAAATGTTACAAGAGCCACTACAGAAAAATATGGAATTTTAGGACTGAAAATGTTCACAATCTGCCTGGTTTTTGCTCTCTGTATATATAGAACCCCTACCAGTCTAACTGGATGTCTGAAAAATGAAGGGGAAAAGGGAGCGTGTGAAGCATTTCAGGAATCTCAGATGGTTCTGTGACAGAGTAACTGTGGGAATGAACATGTGTTAGATGAGCTTATGGAATTTTCAAGCGTGGAAGAAACAGTGAACCAGAAATACTGGTGCTTCCTGGCCTGTCCTTACCATTTCTGGTTCATCCTGCTCACGAGCCTGATAATAAAAAGCAGGGCTATAAATTGATTTTTAAATATTCAGGATGCCTGAGATCACTTTTCCTCCTCCTTCCCCCTCTGCAGGGCGCCCATCCAACATGTACTTCCAAACCCACGACCAGATTGGGATGATCAGTGCTGGCCCCAGCCACGTCACTGCCATGAACATTCCCATCCCCTTCAACCTGGTGATGCCCCCGATGCCACCCCCGGGATACTTCGGCCAGGCCAACGGACCCGCCGCAGGTACAGGGGCTGGGAGGGGGCAGAACCCCCCTTTCCAGGGCTGGGAGGGATCAAGGAACCTGTTTGCATGAGCCAAACTCCTCACTGCTGGTTGGGATCCACCCCTCCTTGCAGGACGTGGGGCTCCCAAAGGAAAGACCGGTCGTGGCGGGCGCCAGAAAAACCGTTTTGGGATTCCCGGGACGAGTCAGTCCAACCTTCCCAACAGCCAAGCGAGCCAAGATGTGGTGTCCCAGCCTTTCTCCCAGGGCCCCCTGACTCAGGGCTATATCTCCATGAGTCAGCCTTCACAGATGAGTCAGCCTGGGCTCTCCCAACCAGAATTATCACAGGTAAGCAGCGTTGGGGGAGTAGTCTGGTCCAGTCTGACCTTTTCCTGGGATTTATGTTGGTGTCTGTGGGCAGGCACAGCCTTGTTCTGGCACTGGGGGAAATGAAACTGAAACCATTTCGTGCTCCTGCACTGTGTGACACTCAGAGCACACTGGGGCAGAAAGGTGAAGTGCTGCATGTCCAGCCCTCAGCCTTAAAAAAAAAGCAGGTTTCACTTAATTCCATCCTTCTCTTTGCGAGCAGGACATTAACTACTTTTCAGAGCAGACAGGGAGAGGAAAACCCTCATCTCACAGTTGGTCTCATTTCTAAGGGGTACTATAGTTTACATTTTAGAAGCAGAGTATCTGAGAGAAAGAGAGAGAGGGAGGGAGAGTCCCCGACTCGAAGCCTTAACTTTGAGCCACCAAAAAACCCCCTTTTTGACGCAAATTCCACACCAAACTGGATTTTAAAAACCCAAGCAGACCCTCAGACTTTAACCTGGGCCCCCAGGTGTTCTAAAAGCTTCGTGAGGGAGCACCTGGGGGTGATGAGGAGCTTTACACAGCCTTTCCCTTCCAGGACAGTTACCTTGGTGATGAGTTTAAATCCCAGATTGACGTGGCGCTGTCACAGGACTCAACTTACCAGGGTGAACGTGCATATCAACATGGTGGAGTGACGGGACTGTCACAGTATTAGAGTGTAAGAACCTCGGGGGGTCCCTCCTCTGCTTCCTCCCCCTCCTCCAAGCTCCTGAAAGGTTTGTGTGAGCGGTGCTGTCCCTAACACAGCCCCCTTTTTTGTCTCCTCGCTTCCAGGTTGAGGAAGAAGAGCTAAGCTTGCGTGGAGCTTAGTTCATCAGCATTTTATTCTGGGTAATAAAAAAAATAAAATAAAATGGATACCTGTTTTCCACTGCTAAAACTGAAGCACCACTGTGTGAGAGCAACAGGAGAAAGAAACCAACCAACGGAAAGAGAGAGAGAGAGAAAGAGAGAGAGAGAGAAAGAAAGGAGCGCGCGAGAGAGCCCACTGCTATAGCTCACTGAGACAAGGAGACCGCGGAGGAGAGAGAGCCCTGACGGACCTGCTGGCGCCTCGCTGGGAAGGAACTCACCCCAAACTGAGTGGTCAGCCGAGTCCCTGCTCCCCCAGTCACCCCCACGCTCGAGAGAAGGGCCTTAAAAAAAAAAAAAAAAAAGCAGGTTTCACTTCATTCCATCCTTCTCTTTGCGAGCAGGGCATTGCTACTACTTTTCAGAGCAGACGGGGGAGAGGAAAACCCTCATCTCAGAGTTGGTCTCGTTTCTAAGGGGTACTATATTTTAGCAGTAACTGTTTACATTTTAGAAGCAGAGTATCTGAGAGAAAAAGAGAGAGAGAGAGAGGGAGGGAGGGAGAGTCCCTGACTCGGTGACAGCAAAGCCAAGCAGAAATCCAGCGGGATCCAGCTGATGCTCAACTCTGAGATGCAGGTTTTGTTGTCCAACACTGGCTCTGAAATCTTAGTTGTCATCGTGTCGCCCACATTCTGAACGGGTCTTTCGTGACGAGGTGGTTTTAAAAGAGATCCTTTCAAAAAAAGGAGCACTGAGTTGTTTTTTTTTTTTTTTTGTTTGTTGTTTTGGGTTTTTTTTGTTTTGTTTTGTTTTGTTTTGTTTTTTTTAAAGAAAAGAAGTTTGTCTCTGAATTCTTAGTGGTGGACCTGGGAGATCCTTGTTCTGAGAAGCTTATATTAAAAAAAAAAACAAACAAACAAAAAAAAAAAAACAAAAGCAAAACAAAACAACAAAAAAATATTGTTTCAAACAAAACTTAAATTAGAGCACCAAACCTTGAGAACTTTTTCAGTGTGATTTAAAGTTGCAGCAATCAGCCTCTTCTTCCTACATTGGATAGCAGTTAGAGTGAGAGGAGCCTGCGCGCTCGGGCAGGAGGAGGGTTTCAAAGTGTTTTCTGTCTGCTTTAATTGGCTACTGTCTGGACTCTACTCTGTGAAAAAAAAACAAGCCTTTCTGTCAGATGAACTTCGTGCTTGATAAGGGGATTGGGTTCCTGTGCCCTTCGGCCCCTGGAGGGAAGATGCAAAACCAAAACAGCCCCTGCTTTGGCCGCCGCAGATGTGGGGAGAAGGAGCGGAATCCGGGGATTATATTGGTGCGGAAGGAAAGACTCCACGGCTCCAGGTGGGACTCACGGACAAAGCAGGCAGTTGGTGGAAGGTGGCCTCTGAGGAGCTGGGTTTAATTAGAGATAATGGGTCAGGCTTTGGCGTGGCTTCTTCGGTGAGGAGAGCAGGGAGGTGCCAGAGCCAGGTGTTGGCAAAGCGAACCCGGAGCAGCTTTTTTTCAGGTGGCGGCCACGGCCGTGCCATCCATGCTGGCTGAGGAGTCAGGACTGAGAACAGCACATTGAAGAGAAGCCATCCAATTTCTAAGTTGTGCCCATGTCTTAACGAGTCGTATGGGAACACTGGGAGCGTTTTATTTCTGTCTAAACCTTTCTAGAAGCAGCGCGGAGAAGCGACAATTCCTGCAGAGCCCCCTTTTTACCAGACCCCCGAATCAGACTGACCTCTACCTCCCAATTGGCCAAGAACAGGAGAGAGTGATCCGCTAACCTGGGTGTTTTTCGAGTTGGAGATAAGTTAGCTTTATACTCAAAAGGGCTCCAAGTGTTTCTAGTCTTTTTTTTTGGGGGGGGAGAACTCAAAAATACCTCTCATATGAATGTACTTCGACGCCGTGAAAACCCCACTTTTTGTACCTGGGGGGGGGGAGGGGGGCAGCCCTTCCATTCCTGTCCTTTCCGTGGGTTGTTGCCCCTGCTTTTTCACAACCTGTTCTTGCTGTAGTTTCCCCAGGGTGTCTCCCCCCACCCAGTGCAGCCCCCCCAGTACCCCAGGACACAGATTCACCCTTTGCCTTCGGTCCTGCCCCGACCGGAGTCCGAGAACTGCAAAAAAAACCAAACCCACAACCCCATTCTTTTCTCATCAAAAGCCTCCAGAGTTTAGACTTCTAAAAAAACAAAACAGTGAAAGAATGGAGACACAGGCCACCTTCCTTCCTCGTGGGATGGACTGTTTTATTTATTAACATTTGCCGAAGGGCTTTTTAATTTTTTTTTTTTCCTTCCGTAGGCTGCGTAGTTGGCGTAGACTTTTCTGATAGGTTTGAGCTGGACCCCTCTGTGCAACGCCATCCATGAGTAATGTAGCCCCCTCCTCTCCCCTCACCCCTTTATTTCACTGCTGGGAATGCTTGGCCTCTGCTTTGTGCTGGTTTTTTCCTTTGTAGCGCAGTTAACTCTGAGTTTTACAAATCCAGACATCAGTGCTAGCACGTGTTTTTTAAAAAAAAAAAACAAACTATATTTTGATTTTTTTTTTTTTTTTTTTTTTTTTTTGGTCTCAGTTTGTTTTAAAACCTGTTTGTCATCAATAAAATATGAAAATAAACAGCTCTTGCATTCAAGGTGGCCCCTTAAGTTTCAATGAGGAAACCATGCAACGTTCATTAAAGCTTAGTCTGATTGTATAAACTTCAAGTTTATTACTTTTTTTAAACACAGACTAGTACAAAAGTGGTGGTGGGGGGGGTGTGCATAGCATGGGGGAGGGGGGGGGGTGAGCAACTCAACTGGGAAAACTGGGAAATGCCCCAACCCTCTTCCCTGCTCCGAGCCCTGGGGGTGGGGGGGTGCAGGGTGGGAGCCCCCAGGATTTGGGAAAGGCTGGACCTGGAGGGGCCCAGTCCAGCACTGCAGTAAACATGGACATGGCTTTTCCCTGTGGCACAGGGCTGGGGGCTCAGCAGAGCTGCTCCTGGGACCACCCTGGGGGGGTTTAGGCCAGGTCTGGGCACCACCCTGGGCATAAACTCCTTGTAGCTACTCCAGGGTGGCTCCAGTGGCTCCCTGGCTGCTGGAGGGGGACACTTGCCCTTCGTGGTGTTGGAGGAGCAGGTCAGGAGTCCCCTCCTGGCCCCAGCACAGGAACAAAACAATTAATACTTCAAGGTTTGTTTTTTTTTTTTTTTTTTCTCTTGATCTCAAATCTAGGATTTAACTCCCCGGAGTTAATCCCTACTCTAAGCCCTTAGAACATCTTCAGTGGTTGAGGTGGGTTTCAGCAGGAGCAGGGCTGGGCTGGGCTTGCCCTGGAACTCTCAGGAAAACACCTGGGTGGGAAAAGATTAGTAAAAGCTACACCTAAAAGTACCCGAGCTGCTCCGGTCTTGGTCTTCAGCTACACATTTTAGGGGGTGTTGTTAAGCAAAAAAAACACCATCACAGGGGACCCCCACAGTGGTTAAACCCTCAGTGCTCGCCACGGGAGAGGGGAAAGGAGGTGGTAAAACTTCATCAGACCTCGAAGAAGACGCAAAAACAGCAGAGAAAATAAACAGAGGCCGCAGGGGCAGGTTCACAGTTCCAAAAAAAAAAAAAAAAAAAGGCGAAAAAATTCAAGTCTAACTCGGATTCCTGTTCTGTTCCCACCCCTTACCCTAAAATAAAAAAAAACCAAACAAACCCCGAAAGTGGTGTCAGGAAAGCCCCACCTGAAGGGCTGGGGGTGGCTTTGAACAGACACTCAGGAGCCAGGCCCAGGACTTAAACCTCGAGCCGCTGGAAAACTCGGAGCCCACGCGCTGGGAAGTGGAAGAAAAGTGGTCAACAAGAGGAGATGGGGCAGATTTGGGGCCCTGCTGCCCGGGGCTGCTCGTTAGGGGCGTTAAATACCACTGCAGGGGCCTGGGCCCAACCCAGAAAGCAACAAATAAACCCCAAATAACCCTAAAATGCACAAGGGCCTGAGAGCTCTGGCCGTGCCTGGTGCTCGGCTGCCACCTGGGGGGGACACAGGGACAGAGGGACACGCGGGGACAGAGGGACACACAGAGACAGAGGGACACACGGGGACAGAGGGACACGCAGAGACAGAGGGACACGCAGAGACAGAGGGACACGCGGGGACAGAGGGACACTCAGGGACAGAGGGACACGCGGGGACAGAGGGACACAGGGACAGAGGGACACGCGGGGACAGAAGGACACACAGAGACAGAGGGACACGCAGGGACAGAGGGACACACAGAAGGACACGCAGGGACAGAGGGACACACAGGGACAGAGGGACACACAGAGACAGAGGGACACGCGGGGACAGAGGGACACGCAGGGACAGAGGGACACACAGGGACAGAGGGACACGCAGGGACAGAGGGACACACAGGGACAGAGGGACACGCAGGGACAGAGGGACACACAGGGACAGAGGGACACACAGAAGGACACGCAGGGACAGAGGGACACAGAGACAGAGGGACACAGGGACAGAGGGACACGCGGGGACAGAGGGACACAGGGACAGAGGGACACGCGGGGACAGAGGGACACACAGAGACAGAGGGACACACAGGGACAGAGGGACACGCGGGGACAGAGGGACACTCATCCATTTGCAAATGAGGTAAATTAATACTGACACAGCAGGTTGGGAGGGGAGAAGATGCCACCGACTCCCTGCCCGTGCCCACCCTCCCCCACAGCCCCCCCCTCGGCCACAGCGTCCATCCTGCAGCTCCCAGGGGGCTTTTTTGGGGCAAAACCTCCGTTGCATTTGGCCCCCCACCCCCTCTGGCCCCCCAAGCCACCCTGTCACCATAAAACCAGCTCAGGGCTGAGCTCCCCCAGCCAGGGAGAAAACCTCGTGTGTCCCACCCCGGGCTCTGCCTCCCCCCCGGGGGTGGGATTTGGTCACCCAGAGCTCGTGCCCTCAGCACCAGTCACCTCCTCCCCTCACGGCCACGCCCGGGGACCCCCCAGCCCCGTTTCACCCCCAAAAGCCGTTTGTGCCCCGAGAAAGGTGCCGAGCCAAGGAACCCAAAGCACCAACAGCTCAGGGGGGGTCTGGGACTCACAGCCTGGTCCTGCCACCCCCTGTGGAGCAGGGAATGGAAAACCAGCACCAGGCTTGATCATAATCCCAGCCCAGCGCCCAGGTAGTCCTAAAGCACAAGTCCAGCCCTAAAGCACAAGTCCAGCCCTAAAGCACAAGTCCAGCCCTAAATCACAACTTCAGCCCTAAATCACAAGTCCAGCCCTAAAAAACACAACTTCAGCCCTAAATCACAACTTCAGCCCTAAACCACAACTCACTCCTGCCACCCCAGAGCTCTCCGACCCCCGACGCACCCACGGGAAACTCCCCGAACGGCGGCACGGAGGGGATGGAACCACCCGGGGGGGGTTGTTCCACCCGGCAGCCACCCCCCTGCTCCCCCTCTACCTGCAGCCACACTCGTCCACCACCATGTCCTCGTAGTGCCGCAGCACCACGTTGTCGCTGTTGTCGTAGTAGAGGATGGAGATGGGGGAGAGCCTGACGGGGACGCAGCAGGGCTGGGGGGTGCCCTGGGGGTCCAGCGAGTGCACCATGGTCTGCAGGACGGCGTGGTTGGTGCTGTTGAGCTCGGCCGTCAGGGGGAAGGGACACTCCCCCCGGCAGTAGTTGGCCAGGTAGCCCTGGGGGGCGATGATCCAGTTCTCCCAGCCCACGTCGCTGAAGCTGATGTGGAGCCGCCGCGCCCTGCACAGGTTGCTCGGGGTGAGCGGGGGCAGCCCGGCACTCCTCCTCCTCCTCCTCCTCCTCCTCCGGGGGGCCTGGCACTGCTGGCTCAGGGTCACCACCAGCAGGGAGGTGTCCAGGAAGGAGTCGATGCCGGAGCAGAGGCCCCGCGGGGCTCCCAAAGCCCCGATGACGCCCACCGAGATCTCCAGGATCAATCCCAAGCTCCCGCCGCGCGTCCTCCGCTCCTTCGCCGCCGCGCTCAGGTTGAAGAGGAGGGACTTGTGCAGCTGAGCAAAGGACTGTTCCACCAGCGGGCTCTGCCTGGGCTCGGGGACCCCCGGGGGGGACACCTCGGGGGTCTGGAAGAGCCTCAGCTCAAAGACCTGCCCCTGGCGGGAGGGGTGGTAGGAATTGTGGTGGAATTTGATCTCCAGCTGGGCCATGGTCAAGCGCTCGCCCTCCTCCAGCACGGAGAGGTTGAAGAACAGGCGCTTCCGCAGGCACAGCCACCCCTGGGGCTGCTCCTCGGGCATGAAGGGGCCTGACAGAGAGGGAGAAATAGAGGTGGGGGCGGTTGGACCCTCGGGCTGGGCAGGATCGGCCTCCCAGGGCTCCAATTTGAGCACAGCAAGAGGAAGACGGGGCTGGCAGGGTTGGATGGAGCTGATGAGGCTGCAGGGAGGGCGATCAGCCCCCTGGCATGGCCTTCAGGAAGGGCTGGAGGCACAAACTGGGCTCCAGCCTGTGGCACTGGGCTGCTGCTGCCATTCCAGCATCTCCTCTGGGCGCTACTTCACATCTCAAGGTGTTATTTTTCCCCAGCTACAACCACCTCCCCCAGGACAGGGAGGGGTTTGGGATGGAGGGGAAAGGAGGGCAAAACAGCAGCAAATCCGAGGAGCTGCCTGGTTTATCCAGCCCTTGGTTTCCACAGGGAAAACTGGAACCACAAGAGAAAGGAGTTCTCTGGTGCCTCGAGACCTCAAAGGGACCGAACAGTTCCCAGTGAACTGAGAAGGGCTCTGAGGGGCTGAGCAGCCAGAGGTGCTGTGGGGTCAGCCAGAGGTGCTGTGGGGTCAGCCAGAGGTGCTGTGGGGTCAGCCAGATGAGCTGTGGGGTCAGCCAGAGGTGTGGGATCAATGAGGAGAAGGGGGGACACAGCCAAAGGGTCGAGCACCCTGCACCCACAGACCCGGCCATGGAGCCACATCCCCCTGCCCAGGTGAGGAGTCACCTCCACCACCGTGAGCCCAGCAGGCCACTCCAGTCACCTGGGATCCAATCAGCACCTCTGGGTGGCTTTAGGGGGTTCCAAGACAGCCCCACACCCTCACCCTTAAACTGAGAATAATCCATCTGCAACATCCCCAGGGACCCGAGTTCACACTGCAGGGATTTCTCCTGGAAACCAGCTCTGGGCACTGCCCTGTCCTCCCTCAGCCTCAGGGAAAGGAAGGAATGAGGCAAAGCCTCTCATCCCAGAGAATGAGGGGCCTCCAAAAGCCCCAAAAGCGTGTCTGTACCTTGGTCAGCGAGGACTCGGATGATGTTCCCGGGGACATTAAATTCCTCCACCCTACAGGCATCCAGGGGGTCTTTGTCCATCGGGGGAGGCGTCTTTCTCTTCTGGAAGATCCTCCAGAGCAGGGGAGGCACTGGGGTGGGGGTTTTCGGGCTGGGCTTGGTGCTCAGGCCCAAGGATTTCAACAACAAACTCTCCTGCACGCTCAGCTCCGACCCCAGGACGGGGCTCAGGAGAGCCCAGGCCAGGCTGGGGAGAAGCCACATTGCCCTGCTCTCCTTCTCCAGACAAAGGGCAGCCCGGGCTGGGGACCCGGAGATGAGGCCAGGGGGGTGTTGATTCCCTGATTGGAGCCTTTGATCTGCTTAGTGCTCAATTAGCACAGAGGGATTCCCGGGATTGGGCAGAGGGTGTGAGTCCCTCCAGGCTCCCCCCCCCCCCTCGGGGACCTGTTAACCCCTTGGTGCTGCTCCCACAGCCTCTCCCACATCTCCACACCGTCCAGGGTCAACAACAGCATCCGTGGTGGCAGGGAAGGGGCTGCTCTTCCCACCCCAAACCCATCCCTGGTGGCAGGGAAGGGGCTGCTCTTCCCACACCAAACCATCCCTGGTGGCAGGGAAGGGACTGCTCTTCCCACACCAAACCATCCCTGGTGGCTGCTCTTCCCACACAAAGCTGCTGGGAAGCCCCACGTGCCACAGACATCCCCCCCTGGATCCAGGGGTAGACCCGGAGCCAGGTTTCTCCTTCCTCCCTCCCCCCAAATCAGCTCTTTTTGACACAATCACAGCACCCCACGCTTTCTCTCTCAAGGCCATCAACTCCAAGCACATCAAACCATCAAAGTCTTGCCTCACACAGTGCCCTGCCCTCAGGACACACAGCCCGGGGGGTCCCTGCCCCAGTTGGGCAGAGGGGTCCCCGTGTCCCCCCCTGTCACACCCCCAGTCCCTTCCTGGCCCTCACAGCAGAGCTGTCACCTCACCCCCCCCCACAAAACTGGCCACCAGCTCAAAGCCAACGCTGTAAAATCGAGTTTATCCCCCCCTGTGGTGACCAGGGACTCTCATTCCCCCCATCCTGCCCTGTCCCAGCTCTGCTCCGGCCCGTCCTGGGACAGCAGGTCCCTTCATTTCCCACAAATCCCACTGGAAGCCGAGGATTCCTGGCACTGAGACGCCCCTTGGACACTGCCCGGAGGAGGTGACGGGTCCTGCCACAGCCTGGGACAGTTCCCACCAGCCCCAGCCAGGAATTTCCCCCCCCTGGCTCACACCACGAGCCCGGAGCCGAGTCCACACGACAGACCAACCACGGGAAAACCAACCCGGCAATTAGAACATGGAATTAACGCCCTGGATCCGCTGCCCTGTCCCCAGCAGGGAGCTGAGGGTGGGCAGCAACGGGACAGCTCGGTCTGAGGGACTAAAACCCACAGGGCTTCCCAGGACAGGGACCCCCAGCCCAGCCTGGGGACCCTCCGAGGCTGGAGCTGCCTGGAAAACCAACACAGGGAGCAGGAATTCTTTGTTCTTCCCTGGAGCGAGTGGGCAGTGCTGGGGGAGCGTCCATTGACCTCCAGCAGGGACTGGGACTGGTTTTTGAAGCGACCCTTAAGACCTACACAGGTTTCTTAAGCAAATCAAGTCTCTCCTGGCTCTCCCCTGGCGGGACAGGAGGCTGGAGTAACACTCCAGGGCTGGTTTTCCAGGCAGAGCTGCTCGTGGGAAGCGCCTGTGCCCCAGACACGGGGTGGGCAGCTCCGTGCCAGCGACCCCTCCCGAGGAGGAGGAAGGCTCCGAGGTGCCCTTCATCACCTCGAGGTGCCCTTCATCATCTTGAAGTGCCCTTCATCACCTCGAGGTGCCCTTCATCATCTTGAAGTGCCCTTCATCACCTCGAGGTGCCCTTCATCACCTCGCCCGGCGGCTGGAGCAGGGCTGGCTTCTGGCTCCCCTTCCCGGGGCAGGAGAGGAGGTTTTTCCCTTCCCAGGGCAGGAGAGGAGGTTTCTCCCTTCCCGGGGCAGGAGAGGAGGTTTTTCCCTTCCCAGGGCAGGAGAGGAGGTTTCTCCCTTCCCGGGGCAGGAGAGGAGGTTTTTCCCTCCCCGGTTTGACGCTGGACCCTTCGGGAAGGGTCGGTGGGAGGGTCCAACAGCAGAGTCGGGGGAATCACGGCGGGACTGAGGACGGGAGCGACGGGAGGAACACCAGGGGACCCAAAGCCAGCTCCAAATCCTACCTGGACCAGCAAAAGCCACCAGTGTCCCAACTGAAGGGGGGCCCCAGGGGAGCCCCCCAGCACCAGGTGAAGCCTGGTCACAGCCCCCATCCTGTCAGTGGCATCTGTTCCCCGGCTCCGGGCAGGGGAGGGAAGGGGGTCAGGGATGAAGTTCTCCTCGTGCCTTTCCTTCGCTGGCTCCCAGCGCAGGGTCCTGGTCGGTCCCAGGTCCTGGCAGCTGCCACGGCCACGCCGCCCTCACAACCTCTTGTCCTTCACGAGCCCGTTCCTGAGGTGCAGCCTGTGGGGGAGCAGAGCAGCGCTCGGTGGGCCTGGTCCCCACACCCCCCGTCCCCCCTCGCTGCTGAGGCCACCCCTGTCCCAGCAGGATTGTCCTGTTTGCCCCCACTCAGCCAGAGCTGCCCTGGGGGATCCCCCAGCACAGCTCAGAGGGAGCAGCCCCAAGCACAGAGCCGGTCCCACGTGGAAGGGCTGGGTGAGGATTCACGGGACAGAGATGGGTGGGCACCCCACGATGCCCAGGTGTGGATTTAAAGTCCTTCCTGGCACCTGCAGCGATGTTTTATGCCCATCCTCCAGCCCGGGGGTGAGCCCTGTGGCAGCAGCTCCAGGGAGGTCACCAGTGTCCCTTCCCCTCACCCGCAGTTGCTGTGTGTGTGTCATCCCTGGGAGTGTCCAAGGCCAGGCTGGAGCACCCTGGGATAGTGGGATTTGTGGGGTGGCACTGGATGATCTCCATGTTCCTCCCAACCCAACCGTCCCACGGCCCTGTGTGCCATCCCCCTGCCCACGTACCCTTCCTTCAGAGCCTTGGGCAGTTGGATTCCAGCCTCCCTCTTCCGGGCCCTGGCGCTTTTCCCGGCGTCCTCCACGTCGTACTCGCGCACGTCGTTCACCTCCTGCATCTGCCCCATCAGCACCTTGGCCACGAACAGGACGATGTACTGGGAGGGGGGAGAGACACCCTCAGACACGGATCCCAAAGGTTTGGAGCTGTTCCACCCCCCAGACCCCACGTGGGCAGGGCAGCTCCCCCCTGGACGTGGCTCAGACCCGCGGCAGAATTCCTGCAACTCCCCTCGGCTGATTTCATCCCACGGGATGATGGAACCAGGCAGGAGGATGGAATCAGGCAGGAGGATGGAATCAGGCAGGAGGATGGAATCAGCCGCTCCCCTGCTCTGCCTGATGTGATCCCTCCACATCCACCCTTTCCACCCCCTCCCCAGCACTTGGGGGGGTGCCAGGACATTCACACCCTGATCAAATCCCAGCCGCTGTTGTCGCTCCCTCCCCAGGGATCCTTGGAGCGTGAGACGGTCGGAATTCCAGCACAGGAGCCCCCCCAGGAACCAACAGGGGTTTCCCTCCTCCCCTCCAAAGCCTCTCCAGCCCTGCAGCCCCTGCACAGGCAGCAGGCACCGGGCAGGAGCAGCGGGGAGAGAACTCCCCCCACTCACCAGGAACCAGTAGATGTTCATCAGGGTGAGGATGAGGAGCAGAGCGTTGAAGAAGAAGTAGAAGGGGATGTTTGGGACCGACTGGAGGCTGGAGTAGCAGGTGGCATAGAGGACCTTGAGGGGGAACCAGTAGAGACGGAACCAGAACCTGGCGGGGCAGAGGAGCAGGGGGGGGTTAGTGGCCCCCCAGGAGAGGAGAGACCCAGCCCAGCTTCCCCAGCACGGCCTCCTGCTCCTGGCAGCCCCGGGCAGCTCCCCTGGCACCCCAACCCCTGCTCCTGGCATCTGGTTTGGGATGGGTCTGGCTCCAGGCAGGGCTTCAGCAGACCCAGGGAAAGGGAGAACATCGTTCCTGTGGGCACAGAGGGCTCAGGGCAGGGGCAGGTCCACGCTGCAGATTGTCCCAGCTGAGCAGGGGACAGGAGGGGAGAACAGCTGGAAGCTTTTCCTCATCCTGTGCACCCCCAGTTTATCCCCCAAAATGAGCCTCTTGTTGCTCCTCTGCTTTTTTGGAGCAGCCCAGGGAGGGGGAGGCAGGGCCGAAAGGACGAGGAGTGACGAGCTGCAAGTCGCTCATCCCCATCCTCCATCCCTTTGTTTCCCTCCTGCCTCGCCCCAAGGGGAGCAGCGAGGGCTGGAATCTGGGACAGCTCTGCCTCCCTTTTCCTTCTGGTAAAAAAAAACCAGCTCCTTGCTGCTGAACCAGGGAAAAACGGGAACAGCTCCTCCTCCCCCGGGGTCATTTGTCACGCTGGGAGCACAATTTCACAGGCACTTCAGTGGTGACAGACGCCAGAGTGACTACAGAGGGATTCCAAGCCCAGCCAAGTGACTACAGAAGGATTCCAAGCCCAGCATGGGGCCGAGCTCTGCGGGAACCTCTCCCCAAACCGACTTTGAAAGGGCTCAGTTCCCATCCCACGAATCCCAGGGCGCCGAGGGGTGTTGGGGAAGGGGGGGGGTGTCACAAAAGCCGGGCAGGAGGGTCGGGAGCGGGATCAGGGGGGGCCAAACCCACCAGCTGACGCTGAAGGTGAGGCAGCCCACGTTGGAGATGATGTCGTTGAGGCGGTGATAGACCCCCCCCCGGTGCTTGAAGTACACGTTGAGCTTGGTGAACTCGAGCTGCACGTCACTGATGTCGTGCAGGAACAGCACCAGGATCCCCACGTTGTGGTACCTGCGGGAAAACCGCAGAGGGAGGGGTGGGATGGGGGGGTGGGTTGGCACCCACGGCCCGAAACACCGGGGGCAGATTCCTGGAGCAATCCCAAGAGTCAGGTGTGGGTGCAGGGGATGAGGAGCCCTAGGAAGGCTCAGGAGGGTGGAGGAAGGGGAGAATCCACACTGGCTCTGCTCTGAGTCCAGCACGCTGGGAACAGGATTCCCTGAGCAACCCAGAGAGCCAGACATGGATGCAGGGGCTGGGGAGCCCCGGGATGGCTCAGCAGGGTGGAGGAATGGGATAATCCTCACCAACCCAGCTCTGAGTCCAGCACAGATTCCCTGAGCAATCCAGAGAGCCAGATATGGATGCAGGGGCTTGAGAGTTCTGGGATGGCTCAGGAGGGTGGAGAAAGGGGAAATCCACACCAACCCAGCTCTGAGTCCATCATGCCAGGAGCAGATTCCCTGAGCAACCCAGAGAGCCAGACATGGATGCAATGGCAGGGGAGCTTTGGGATGGCTCAGCGGGGTGGAGGAAGGGGAGAATCCTACCAACCCAGCTCTGAGTCCCTCACACTGGGAGCAGATTCCCTGAGCAATCCAGAGAGCCAGACATGGCACAGCCACGTGGGAGCAGCAGCTCAGGAGCTCTGGGATGGCTCAGGAGGGTGGAAGAAGAGGAGAATCCACACTGGCTCTGCTCTGAGTCCAGCACACTGGGAACAGGATTCCCTGAGCAATCCAGAGAGTCAGACAAAGCTGGGGAGCTTTGGGATTGCTCAACAGAGTAGAGGAAGGGGAGAATCCTCACCAACCCAGCTCTGAGTCCATCATGCCAGGAGCAGATTCCCTGAGCAACCCAGAGAGCCAGACATGGATGCAGCGGCTGGGGAGCTTTGGGATGGCTCAGGAGGGTGGAGGAAGGGGAGAATCCACACCAACCCAGCTCTGAGTCCCTCACACTGGGAGCAGATTCCCTGAGCGACAGCCCCTGGCGCAGCACGGCCACGTGGGAGCAGCGGCTCAGGAGCCCCGGGATGGCTCAGGGAGGGCGGAGGAAAGGCAGGAAGGGGCAAACCCACCCCCAATCTGCCCCGGGGAGCAGGGGGGCCTCACCTGAAGGCGTAGGAGGAGGCGATGAGGGTGAGGGTGACCACGTGGTGCAGCAGCATCACCACCGAGTCCTTGCGCCACGTGTCCATGTAGGCCGTGGCGTAGATGGAGTGGCCGTAGAAGCTGCCCTGCAGCAGGTACGCCACGGCGATGTCCGTGGGCACCTCCATGCCCTGCTTCCAGCCTGGGGGGCACAGGGACGCCCAGGTGAGCCCATGGCTGTGATCCCAGAGCCCCTGGCAGCAGGGAGGGGGGTGCAAACACCGGGGAGACCCTGCATGTCACCGGGCTCGGGGGCTCCAGCTCCCTCCCAGGGCATCGTGGATGCAGAGCCCGGGTGGGGATCCAGCTACTCTGGCTCCCAAACTCTGCCTCTGGCATCAAATCCCCTGCTAGGCCTAAGAGAGAAGTCTTGATTTGGTGTCCCTGTCCATGGGAGAGGGTGATCTCCAAGGTCCCTTCCACCCCAAACCACCCCATTACTCGATTCTCTCCTGCAGAGCCCTGATGGGGATCCGTCTATCCTGGCTCCCAAACTCTGCCTCTGGCATCAAACCCCCTGCCAGACCTAAGAGAGAAGCCTTGATTTGGTGTCCCTGCCAAGGGATTTGGTGTCCCTGCCCATGGGAGAGGGTGATCTCCAAGGTCCCTTCCACCCCAAATCACTCCAGGATTCGATTTTCTCCTGCAGAGCCTGGATGGGGATGCAGCTATCCTGGCTCCCAAACTCTGCCTCTGGCATCAAATCCCCTGCTAGGCCTAAGAGAGAAGTCTTGATTTGGTGTCCCTGTCCATGGCAGGGGGTGGAATGAGATGATCTTCAAGGTCCCTTCCACCCCAAACCACTCCATGATTCGATTTTCTCCTGCAGAGACTGGATGAGGATCCAGCTATCCTGGCTCCCAAACTCTGCCTCTGGCATCAAACCCCCTGTCAGACCCCTGCCAGATCTCTGCCAAGGGATTTGGTGTCCCTGTCCATGGTAGGGGATGGAATGAGATGATCTCTGAGGTCCCTCCACCCCAAACCACTCCATGACTCAATCCTCTCCTGATTAATCTGCTCACCGCCCTCCAGCCCCCGCTGACTCCCTCTTAAAGAAATGGTCAGAGCAGAGCCCCTCGTGCCCTTTCTGCACCCACAGCATCAGAGAAAAGGAAATCTAGGGGTTGTCTTCTCCTTCTCTCCCCCCAGCTCCCATTCCCGTGGCCAACTCAGACCTCCCAGTCCACCCCTGGCTCTCACTGTACCGTAAAAGACGGAGGGGGGGTCGTGGAAGAAGGGGTAGTCGGTGAAGAAGAGCAGGTAAGTGCCGTAGGACCAGGACAAGGTGTAGAAAAGCAGCTTCCAGGCACTCTCAGGCATCTTAGCAGCATCTTTTGGCTGCAGGTTGCACCATTCCCCGAAAGGCTGCAGGGAGAGGGGGAAAAAACCATCAGAAAGGGCAGGAGGAGAGGCCTTGGGGAGCTCAGGGCAGAGATGCCCGACTCTCCAAGGGATCTGAGCTCCGTGTGCTGCTCCAGGGGCAGGAATCCCGTTTTTCTGGCCTTCCTTACAGCAGGAATGAGGGCAAAGGGGCTGGAGAGAGACTGAAGCAGGGGGAAAAAAACAGATTAGGGATCCTTCCTGGAGCCTGGCACAGTGTGCATCCCACACCCCGGGCACTGCTCCACCCTCCAGGAGCCGGGCTGAGCAGAGGCTGCTTTTGCAGAACAGAAATAATGACTAAAATAACACAATAACGAATAAAATAAAAATAAAGCCCAGCCAGCACAGGGAAACCCAGGAGAGGAAGCTGCAACAACACCATCCTGTGCAGATGGACCTTGAAAAAGCTTCCAGGAAAGAGTTTTCAGCTGGGGAGGGAAAGGCTTTGCAGAGCCCTGGGCACAGGGGCAGTGCCAGCCAGCACTGGGAGCTGGGCAGGGAATGGGGCAGGAAAGGCTGGCACAGCAGGACCCGCTTTCCCAGTAGCTTTCCCAGCTGCCCAGCACTGAAACCCCGCTGGTATTTCCCCCCTCCGTGGTTTGCAGCACCTTCCCACCCCTTTGGGAAGCAGAGGCTGGAGGCAAAGCCTCCCCAAACTCGGCTGAAGGCAGGGATGGGGCACGGGCGGCTCTGCTCGTGTGAACCAGGACAAAACTCTCCCACCCCGGGTTCCCCCCACACTCCCAGGGGGGAAAAGGACCACCCAGCCCTCTGGGCCGCTCGGGACAACTTGGAAATGGTAGGAAAAGCAGCTGAGCAGCCTCGGATTTGTGGGAGTGAAGCGGAGCAGCCGCCTCCGCCCCCGGTGCTGCGCCTTCCCCCTGCTCACAGGGGCTCCAGGCAGGGATGTTCTCCCCCTCTGTGGCAGCTGAGCAAGGCCAGGCCCCATCTCTGCTTCTCCTCACGGCACTGACAGCCCCCCTGCACAGCCCCCGGGGGGAGCAGGGGAGCCCCAGCCCGGGGAAGGGCTGCTCCAGGTCCGGAGGGAACACTGATAACACCCAGAAACCCCCCCCGCCCCAGCTGGGAGCTCCTCAGGATGAGCCAGATAAGCTGGAGATGAAAACAAAATGCCTGGAAAGTAACTGTACCCCGGCCCAGGTCAGCACTTTCTGCAGCCCCTCAACGCCCCCGGGCTAAATTAAGGCCCCAGCTGTCCCCAGGCAGTGGTTGCTCTGGCTTTTAGCCCCTCTCTGGGTCCAATTTTCAAAAGGACTCCACTCCAAGCTTTGTCCCGGCCTCGGAGTGCTTAGTTCCAAGCTCTGAATCCCCCAGACCTGGGAGCAGCAGCCCCAGGAGCCTCCAGCCAGAGGCATCTCCCATTCAGAGCGTGGCCCTCACCGAGAGCAGGAACCACTGCCAAGGGCTCTTCCAGAGGGAGCCACGGGAGGGAAAAGAGGAGGAAGCTCGAAGGGTGGATAAATAATGCACAGACAGAAAGTCCTGAGCTCAGAAAGCATCAATTATTTGTGTCTCCACAGAGTGGAGCGTGGAGGGAGCTGGGATGTGGGCACAGCTCACTGGCAGAGCCACCAGTCCTTCAGGGATGCTGAGCACAGCCCCAGATCCCTGTTCATCCTGGGATGGGTTGGGTTGGAAGGGACTCCAAAGATCCAGGGACTCCAAAGATTCCAGATCCCCCAGAAAGCAGGGGCAGGCACAGGGAAGGGAACCAGCAGCACGCAGGGGACGAGGAGGGGACACGGGAACGTCCCTGGAGCAGGGGGGAGGCACAAGCCCAGGAGCCGCACGGAGCAGCCCGGGGGTGGAGATGAGCAAGGTGGGGGCTGTCCTCCCGTCACCCGGCTGCCGTTCCCATGGCAACGGCGCAGAGATGCCTGTTGCTAAGGGTGACGGGGGCTGCAAGTCGGGAACGGCGGATCTGGCTCCGGCTGAGAGAGCCCGGGGCTCCTGGAACGGGGTTTCGCTTAAAGGGCAACCTCCTCTTCCTCCTCCTCCTCCTCCGCCCGCGCAAACCTCCCCCGGCACCTTCTGGGGATAATTAACAGTTAATTGGGGGCTGCGCCTGTTCCCCCGGCACACGAAGGGGGGGGAAGGAGCGGAGCAGGGGGTGAGAACGTGCGGCGAGAGGGGTTCGGAGCCGCGAAGAGAAAACCGGATGGAAGCTCTGCCGCTGCCCACGGCTCCGCTCCAGCGCCAAAAAAAACACCCTCGGAGCGAGGAGCGAACACGTTTTCTCTCCCTTTTCGCAGCCGATCCCTGGGATCCACCAGCGGCAGGACGCGGGTCCTCCCGCGGGGATGGGCTGGGAATCGAGGAGCTGGAATTGGCCGAGTCCCAGCCCTGCCAAGTCTGAGCCCCCCCCGGGCACAGCGAGTTCCCCGGAGGGACACAAAGGAATGGCTGGCACGGGGCACCCCCGACGCCGGGAACTGGCAGCTCCGCGGCGGCTCTGCCTCGATGGGGATGATGATGATGATGATGATGATGATGATGATGATGATGATGATGATGATGATGATGATGATGATGATGAGCAAGCAGAGCTCCGATTCAAAGCCCGACCACGACCGGCAGCTCCTGCCCCTTCCACGAGCTGCCCATGGCACCGTGTGTGGCTTCCCAGGCTCTGTCCCCTCTGTCCCCAGCCTGGACATGCTCCTGGACCTCCTGCCACCTCAGGGATGGGGCACAGAGCCTGCAGGACCCGGGGCTGGTTTGGATTGGGGGGGACTTTAAGGGTCATCCAGTGCCACCCCCTGCCATGGGCAGGGACATTTTCACTGTCCCAGGTTGCTCCAACCTGGCCTTGGGCACTCCCAGGGATCCAGGGCAGCCACAGCTTCTCTGGGCAACCTGTGCCAGGGCCTCCCCACCCTCACAGCCAGGAATTCCTTCCTGATTTCTCATCTATCCCTGCTCTTTTTCAGGAAAAAACCCAGCAAAAAGTCACCGTTCTCCAAACCCAAAGAAAGGGCTCTCCACAGCCCTGTGCACCCCGGGGCAGTGACTGTCACCCCACCACGAGAAGGGAGTGAGCTGAGCAGGGGATGAAGAGCTCCAGCTCCCACCATCCCATCCCTGCACCACTTCCCCAGGCAACACTTTCCAGAGAAACACGTGGAAAAAAGGGCGCTATGATGATACCAAAAAATCCCGAGCAGACATCACTTCTCCCTCGGTTTCTCGCCCCTAAAGAGAGAAAAGCAGCAGAAGGGTCTCCCTGAAGACCCTCCGAGCTGCCCAGGGGGCTGAGGAACCCCCGCCCCGAGCCCCGGCGCTGACACAGCAGCGCGGGGAGAGCAGCCCCCGCCGAGCCGCCTCACTCCGGGGGGGAAGAAAGGGCCCATTGTTGTGGCTTTTGTCCCGTTTGGAGCTTCCAGAGTTTGTGCTTCGGGGCGAGGGGAGGAAACGGCGGAGCCTCCTCCCGCTCCTCTGCCCTCCGAGTGTGTTGGGTGGTCACTGCTGGGGGCGTTCCCCCCCCCTCCCGAGTCACACCTTGGAAAAAATAAATCTTGGGTGGGGAAAAGGGGCATCGGTCGCTGGAAGGGATCCCGGGAACCCTCCCTGTGCAGCTTCCCGGGGCTGCTCTCCATCCCTCACTTCCAACCCGGCTTCCCCGAGCACGTTTTCCAAGGCACACGACACTGCTCCTTTCCAGAGGACACTGCAACGTCCTACAGACTTGGACACCACCGGGAAAAAAAGAGCTGGCAGGTGTCTGGGCCAAAAGTGGAGAACATTCACCCACTGCAGAACAAATCCTGACCCACCCCCAGCTCCAGCTTTTACACTGAGAGGATTTTCCTCACTTATTTCACTGCAGGCATTTCAATCCCAGCAGCAGAGGTGGCTGAGGGCTGGAAGCCTCTGCCTGGGTTTGGCTGTTCCAGCCCATCCTTGTGCCCCAATCCAGAGCTGTGCCCTGGGTTTCACCTGTCTGGGTTCCCTGCCCTGCTCGGGGAAGGAGAACCAGCACAGGCTGAGCTCTGGGTGATCCAGCCTTTCCCCAGGGCAGCTGCCTGGTCCTGTTTCAGCAGAGCTTGGCCTTGGTGCCCTCCAGGGTGTTTAACTAACACAGAGAGAGGGGTTCAGGTTGCTGCTTTTTAATCAAACTCCTCAGGGCTGGCTGGTGTCACACAGGGGACACACCAAGGGCGTCAGGGACTGGTGGAGCTCGGACACCATGGGGGCAGGAGGATGGGGCAGAACCCAAGGAGGCTCCCAGGGGTGGGAGCACTTCCCTTAGAAGCAGCTTAATCTTAATTTCTGGAGGTGGTTTGCAGCCCCAGTGAGCTCCTACAGACACATCATCCCGTTTGTGCACTCGGAATCCAGCAGGACAGAGAGCTGAGACCCTCAGGCCAGACCTGGAGGGGACAGATCTGTTCCTCAGGTCTCTGCAGGGACACCCACACCCCAGCAGAGATGACTCTGGGGGTCCTTCCCTGCCTCATAATCCACACTTCCTCAGCTGATTGGGATCTTCCCACCCCAAAACAACCCCTCTCTGTGTTTGCCCCGAGGTTTCCATGAAGAAGCAGCAACGGGACAAAAATTCTTCACTCTAAGGACGGGAAAAGCACCGACCCAGCCGGGGGGGGGCAGGTGAAAATCCACCCTCAAATCCAAACCAAACCCCTCTAATCACCTGCATGGCCTTTTCTGCTTCTCCAACCCAGCTGTGGCACCTCCTGTGCCACAGATGTTGGGGGATAAATGCTGCTGGGAGAGAGAGCAAGGAGCCCAGAGCCCCTTGTCTGACACGACCAGGGAGCACAGCCAGGGGGAAATGGCTTTAAAACACTCATTTCTCACAGGAGCTGCGTGGCCAGAGCTCAGCAAGGTGCTCTTGTGGTGAGGGTCACTTCCTCCTCAGACACAGAGGAGCACAAGGTTTATGGTCTGTGAGTGACAGGCAGGAAGGGAACGTTCCCTGGCCACCCAGAGGGGTCGGTTTTACAACCCCGAGGGTTTCAGTTCCTGCAGGGAACACAGAGAGAGTCCAAAGGAGGAAGAGGCTCCAAGTCTGCACAGGGAAGCGAAGTCCTGAGCTGGGGGGAAGTTCCCTCCCAGGGTCAAACAGGTCTTTTCTCTCCCTGATATCCCCCCCACTTTGAATGACCCCGCTCTGACACTGCCCCCACAGGGGCCACGAGGCACCAACTGATCTCCTGACGGGTTTTAGGGGAAAGCCACAACTTCCATCCTTTCCCATGGCAACTCCAGAATCATGGAAGTGAGGAAATCTTCCCATCCCTTTAAGACATGTATATGCAGAGAGAGAGAGAGCTGTCTCTCCCTACCTGCTGCCCTGGCCCTGGGAGAAAGGTGATGCCTCTGGAACCCCGCTCAGCATCTCATCAGGATCACACATGCAGATGGAGCCACGGGAACCTGCTCCCAGCAACCCCCCCTGGCCCTTCTGCAGTTACAGGTGTGACCCATTTCCCAAGGGAACGACAGCTCAGGAGCTGCCACCCCTCTCCGAGGGCACCCCGTGGGCCCCACCACGCCAGGAGCTGTTTACCAGGCTCTGGAAGGGCCTCAGGCCAGGAGGAACTGGAGCTCAAAGGGAATTGTCACCGAGAGTTGCCTCAGCCCTCGGGCAATCCAGCATTCCCAGGTGCTGGATGCTGCCCAGCCCAGCCAGGGGTGCAGGGAATGAGGGGAAATTCAGCCTGGCATGACCCCCCCCCCTGAACATTCCTTGCCTAAAACCACTCCAGCAGCTCCAAATGACTCCAGAGGGCTCTGACTGGACCCTGCACAAGGTCAGGACCCACCAGGATGAGCAAAGGAAGAGCCCCTCTGAGGGCAGGAGGGCTGGGATAACCTGGGACAGGGATGCAGGGAACTGCCTCTGATCCATGAGGAGCCTCCAGAGGAAACGGCTCAGCCAGGGAACGAGGCCTGTCCTGGAGCTCCTCAAGGCCTCGTGTCCCTGTGCTCGTGGGGAGGTGGGAAAAGGGTGTCCCCAAGGCTGTCCCCCAACCTGAAATCCTCCATCTCCACTGCTCCTGCCTTCAAAGCCCTCTCGAGGCCAGGGCAGCCCCGGAGCAGAGTCCCGAGCATCCCTCTAGGAAAGCATCTAGGGATGCTCTAGGAAAGCAGCGTGGAAGGAACGGGCTGGGACGAGCCATTGGAGGGAGGGGGGAGCCCTGCTCTCCCTCCACACGTTTTTTCGCAGGGAGAAACGAAGCAGAGCTGCTCTTCCTGCTCAGGGACGTCCTGCTCGGCCCGTCCCTCACAGAGGGCTGCGCTGGAGAGGGGACAAGGGCCGGCCAGCCCCTTCGGAGGCTGGGAGAGCCGGCCGGGAGCATCCCTGAATCCCCACGCTCGCAGGAAGGTCAGCCCGGCACTGCAGCACCGAGCCAGCCATCCCCGGCCATCCCTCCCTCCCTCCCTCCGCCGCCGGGCAGGAAGGACATTTTCCATGCAAACCGCGGGGGACGGGCAGAAACGCGCCCCTCTCCTTCCCGCAGGAAGGCAACGAGCCGGGAATAACCTGGAAGAAATAACCCTCAGCCTTGTCGGGATGCAGGGATGGGGATGTGGAAGGGGGGGGGGGGGTGGCTCTCCCGGGGCGGGGGGATGCTCGTTCTCCCAGGATGCAGCCGCGGGGGAAGGCAGGGAACAAGCCGGGAATAACCTGGAAGGAATAACCCTCAACCTTGCCGGGATGCAGCGATGGGAAGGTGGAGGGGAAGGGAGCGGCGGGGGGGCTCTCCCGGTGCGGGGGGGGGGGGCTCTCCCGGTGCAGGGGGGATGCTCGTTCCTCCGGGATGCAGCCCCGAAGGGGGGGAGGAAGGCGTAGGGCGCATTTCCCACCCCAAGCCACGGCGGACGCGCATCCCACCCCGCGGACGGAGGCGGGCGATCCCCCGCCGGTACCCCCGGGGCCGACCCCAAAGGGACGGTCCTCCCCCGGTCCCCCCCATCCCCATATCCGCGTCCCCCCCCCCTCCCCGCGCGGCCGGGACTGACCCGAAAGATGCTGCGGGAGCAGGCGCAGCGCAGCGCGGTCCAGCCCAGCGCGCAGAGCCCGCACAGCAGCACCTCCGCCCAGCCCAGGTGAGCGTTCTCGGCCCAGGTCCGCCTCGCCAGCTCCCAGCCGCAGTCCCCGCAGCCCCGGGCGGCCTCGGCCAGGCTCCCGTAGCCCCGGCGGAGCAAGGTCCCGTAGCCGGGCATGGGCTCCGGAGGCGGCATCGCTGCCACGGCCGCGCTCGCCGCCCGCGGCCCCGCGCAGGCTCCGGCGGGCGGGACCGCGCTCCCCCCGCGCCGGTACCGGGCGAGAAGAGCCGCCCCCCGCCACGGCCCGGCCCCCTCCGGGCTCTGCCGGGGCTCCCCGAGGGGGCAGAGGCTCCGTTCGGCAGCGCTGCAGGGAGTTCTCGGAGCTTACGGGGTGGGTTTGGGGGTTTTTTTGTGTGTGTGTCCCGACAATGCGGCCGCTCCGCTGGAGGACGAGCTGCGAGAACGGGCTGGAGTCGCTCCAGGAGCGAGGGACGGGGATAAATAGCGACGTTTCGGTCGCAAGAGGTGATGGAAGGGTGGAGAAGCGCCCAGGGGCACCTTTGGGGTGGTCGTGGGGGTGGAAGGTGCCCGCAGCCCCTTGGCAGCCCCGTCCAACAACACAGAGCTGCTCCGGGTTCAAAATCCTGGACTAAACCTTAAAAATCCTGGACCAAACCTTAAAAATCCTGGACCAAACCTTAAAAATCCTGGACCAAACCTTAAAAATCCTGGACCAAACCTTAAAAATCCCCCACCAAACCTTCTCCTTTCAACGTTTTTTTCACCCTCCATCATGTTTGTTTGTTTGTTTTTTTCATTTAATCCACGAAGGGAAATGTTTCTCCAGGTTATTTTTTGCCCTAGCTCTCAGCACCAGCCCTGCAGGAGCCCTGGAGGATCAGCACCAGCAGATCCATCCCTTCCTCACACAGCTGACCAGGTGTGTCCCCCGTGGGCCACCACAGCTCAGTTTGGGCACCTGTAGCAGTTTAAGGGTCTGGAATAATGAGATGCAGCTGTAGGATGCAAACACACCCTCCCCAAAGGTCACCCCCAAGAAAGACTGAATGTCACCTCCATCATCATCACAGGCACCATCGAGCTGTAGCTGGAACCAGCTGACAGGGAAAGGAAAAGACAAGCTAGAAATGAGTTTAATCTCATTTTGAGTCATCCAGGTTCCCCCTGGAACCTCTCCTTGCTCTGGGAAAACACAAACTGGTTCCCCTCGAGGTCCCACCGTGTCCCCCCCACGGCTCCTGCTCTGCCACTTGCTTTTATTGTTTACATTTTTAAGTCAATTTATCATGGCCCATCAAGTGGGGACGGGCTGCCCTGAGCACACAAGCCCCTTTCAGGTCTCCCTCAGACAGCTCCACAAAGGGAACATTCATCCCAGGCCGGGCCATGAATAAACCCCTCACTGAAAGGAGCTGCTGAGCCAAGGGAGGGGACAAAGGGCCCTTTCAGGGCCAGCACGGCCAGGGGGGCACGAAGGAAGCGCCCGTGGGACACACATTTACAGTGCAACCCCCCCTCCTCCCCCTCCCCAAATGATAATTCCCAAGATGATCCCAAATATTCCAGGGCAGGAGGGCCCAGCTGAGGGTTCCACGGCCGCAGAGCCTGGTGGGTGGGACACAGGGATGAGCCCAAGGCCACGATCCCAGGGTTGTATCCCAGGACACTTCCAGCTCCCCACGTGCTCCAGGAGGGATGCCCCGGCTCCAGGACACATGTCCTGGCTCCAGGACACGCCTAAGGCTCAGGCTGAGCCTATTAGGGCAGGATTAGTTTTATTTTGGGAGTTTTCCCCTCTCACCAGCAGTAAAACCCCCCCAGCCAGGGATCCTTCTCCCAGGGGAGGCTGAAGGTACAGGAGTTGTGGTGGGATGGACCAAAGGAAGATCCATAACTCAGGATTGATCCAGGTGCTGAGGGCAGGTGCTTAAAACCTTCACACTCTCCCGCCTTCAAACCTTCGGTCCTGGAGTGGAATCACCTGAATTCCAGAAATTACAGGGGCACAAAGATCCAGCAGAGGCTTTATTAGGAATGTTCAAGGTGCCAGTGTTGCACCCTCCTGATCTGCACGGGAGCTGACCCAGAGTTCAGGGCCCGGGGGAGGCTTCGAGCCCCCAAAATTCAGGTGCTGGACACAGGCACAGCCCCACCCCTGCTGGAGCACCAGGCTGAGGTGAGGCCAGGCTGATCTGCAGAGGGGATTTTCCACGTTCCAGAGGGCATTTTCCGTGTCCCAGGGAGGATGTGAACAGGAACCCCAGTGCCCAGGGCTGGTCCCTCAGGCACTGGGTGCGTACTGCAGGGCCAGCCGGTCGAAGTCGTTCTCCTGCAAGCAGAGGCAAAAATAAAGGAATAAATCCAAACATCCCTGGGAATCTGATAAAACTCTGCCTTAACTGAAGAGAACAGCTCACTAAGTCCAGAGGAATTCTAGGAAACGAGATCACCTGCACTGATGTTTTTTTCAGCTTGCTTCATTTTCCCTTTCCCCTCTCCCCAAATTCTATTTTATGTCTGGAATTCCCTCCATTTAATGTTTCATGGCAACAAACTTCCACTTGGATTAAGAACCTGTTCCTCAGAGCTTTTGGGTCGTGGTCAGGTACATCCCACCTGGCTTGTGCTTCCCAAAAATCTCTCCCAAGGGCTGGAAAATTTAACTCAGGAGTGACAGGGCAGGGACATGGAGCTGCCCCCTCAGGCCAGAACTCACTGGCTCCATCACAACTGGATCTGAGGCCCAATAAATTCAACTTCATATCATTTATTTCTATCCTGTTCTGTTCTATACCTTTGCCTGATACTCCTTGATGAAGGGGTGGTTTTTGTGAGCATCTTTCAGCTGCGACAGGTAACGATTCGTGACCTGGTGGGGGGAAAAAAACAAAGTTAAACATTCAAACAACAGGAGGAAAAGCCAAAAGTGCAACAAATCACCCCTCAAAGGGTTTGTTCGCAGCTAAAAACCTGCTTTTCTCAGTGTCTCCCACGTCAGCAGCCCCAGTGAAAACCAGTAAGACCTTTTAAAACCAGTCAGACCCGCACGCCCTTAATAAATAATAAAATAAAACACCCCTAAATAAATGATAAAATACTTAAAAATAAACCTGAAATCGTGGGTTTAAGTGAAAAGAAAAATCAGCAGGAGCTGAGCTTAGAACTCAAGTGATTTCTTTCTGCCCAGGCCTTCCTCTCAATGTCATGGAATGGTTTGGACCTTAAAGATCATCTAATTCCAAGCCCTTCCGAGGGCAGGGACATTTCCCAGGTTGCTCCAAGCCCTGTCCAAACCTGGCCCATGTCCTCTGTATTTCCACAAACTCTCCTTTAGGGGTGTGAGCTCCCCACCCCCAGAACTATTCCCAGGTCCTGCTGGGAACACACGGAACTCCCAAAGCTCTCGGATCCGCCGGGAACACCCGACGAACACGGCCTCACCTCCGGAGCCTTTCCCAGGTGCTGTGAGAGCACCACGAGGTTCAGGAGGGTCTCAGGGTGGCCACTGTCCTGCAAGGAACAACAGCCATGAGTGCTGGGATCCACAGCCTGCAGGGAACAGCCCTGCCCAACCCCCTGCCCTGGGAATGGGAACAGGGACGGGCACCAGGACGGACAAGGGATGCAGGGACAGGACCAGGGAATGGCTTCCCACTGCCAGAGGGAGGGTTAGGTGGGATACTGGGGGGGAATTCCTCACTGGGAGGGTGGACATGGGCTGGGATGGGTTTCCCAGAGAAGCTGTGGCTGCTCCTGGATCCCTGGAAGTGTCCAAGGCTGTGTTGGGGCAACTTGGGATAATGGGAAGTGTCCCTGACCACGGCAGGGGGTGGAACTCCATGACCTTCAAGGTCCTTCCCAACCCAAACCATCCAGGGATTCCAACCCAAACCTGGGATTCCACCCCAAATCATCCTGGAGTTCCACCCCAAACCATCCTGGGATTCCAACCCAAACCATCCTGGGATTCTACCCCAAATTATCCTGGGATTCCACCCTAAACCAGCCAGGGATTCCACCCTAAACTATCCTGGGAATCCACCCCAAATTATCCAGGGATTCCACCCCAAACCATCCTGGGATTCCACCCCAAACCATCCTGGGATTCCACACTAAACCATCCTGGGATTCTACCCCAAATTATCCTGGGACTCCACCCTAAACCAGTCAGGGATTCCACCCTAAACTATCCTGGGATTCCACCCCAAATTATCCAGGAATTCCACCCTAAATCATCCTGGGATTCCACCCCAAATCATCCAGGGATTCCACCCTAAACCATCCTGGGATTCCACCCCAAATTATCCAGGAAGTCCACCCTAAATCATCCTGGGATTCCAGCTCAAACCATCCTGGGATTCCACCCTAAACCATCCTGGGATTCTACCCCAAACCATCCTGGGATTCCAGCCCAAACCATCCTGGGATTCCACCCCAAATTATCCAGGGATTCCACCCCAAACCACCCTGGGGTTCCACGATCAGCCCCACCCTCAGCGACACCGATCCCTCCACTGGCATTTCCATGAATTTTCCCGGTGAAAGCCCCCTCTGTTCTGCCCAGCACCCCCTGAGAGGTGGGAAGAGCAGGCAGTACCTTGTCCAGGGCCTCCTGGAGAACTCCCTCGGCGTCCTCCCACTTGCCCTGGGCCATGTAACAGGCAGCCTGCCCGTTCAGCAGCAGCAGGGTGGGGGAACACTTGTCTGCCATCTCTTGGAAAATGTAATAAGCATCTTGGAGCTTCTCCCCACCCTGCAAAACACCCCCAGGCTCATCACCTGCTGCCAAGAAGCCCCCAGAACCTTGAAGCACCGGGGGCAAAGTTAATTTCTAAAGGTTATAAAGGGAAATTCTGGAGCACCAGCACTCCCTGATCCCTGTGATCTCCTGCACCACAACACAGCAGCCAGAGCAGATCAAAGAAATGCATAAATATTAAATATTAAGAACCACTTAAATGATCAAATGAGCCAGGCTTGTCTTCAGAAAGGAAAAAAAAAAAACCAAACCACCACTTCAAAAGAACCACTTCACGTGTCTGACATAATAAAGGAGGTGAAATGAGGTTCTTATGATTTTTTTTTTTTTATAATTAAACACCTGGGTTTCTCAAAAGGTTCTCCATCCAGGAAGGTTCTAGATGCAGGAAGGTTCTACATGCAGTGGCTGCTCCAGTTGGAGGTGGGATTCCTCATGGAAACC